TTTAAATTACACAACATAGGTTTATATTTCAATTAAGCTCAACTAACAAAGACAATATTAGCCAGGCAGTATTTCCATAAGTACCTGTAAAAGTGTGAATTTCATTTAATCCAATGCTTTAAATAAATTATACTTTATTAAACTCTTATAGAAACAATATATATCTGAACAGAATTAATTATTTGAGAAGAGATTATTGCCGTCTTAACTGGGTCTTAAACTGAAGCACTGGCTAGATTAATGTACAGGTTGACTGTATAGCCTAATACAGATCAATTAGATAAATCTTCTACACATGTTATAAACAAGATTTTATGCTTTTTATGTCAACAATGAGTAGCCTAATTCAAAAAAAAGTCAGAATAACCCAAATCTTGTTTTATCAATTTGTTACCAGTTTCAAACCCTTTCTGTAAATATTGAAAGTTTGCAAAAACTGCTCTTGGAGATATTAATTGCCCTTCGGATATTAAGACACATGCACTCATAATTTGCACATTTAGGTGAGGATCTTTTCATTCTTGGTATTTCAAAGAAACTGTGTATCAAATAATATTGGTGATGCATACTTCAATGACTTTTTTGAAATTGAGATAATATAGAGGCATAAGACTTTAAACTGAACCAAATTTCATAAAACGGGATACAAGAAAATGTTACCAGAAATGCTATGAAAGATATTTACATTGTCTTTATCATGTTAATACTATGTTAATACTAACAATAATATTATTTTGGTTAGCGAAATACATCTAAAATTTAAACCTCTGATTTTACAATTACTCTACTAAAAAGTAATACTGTGCCAAGAGCATGGTATTTAAACCCAAATCTCACAAAGCCATTCAACAAAAGGGCATTTAATGAAAGTCTATATATTACATCATAACCATTTAACATTAAATCAGGACAATATTCAAGCAATAAAATATTTGTTTCTTAAATAGACATAATGCCTATTTCGGAAATAAGACATGAACATTATTGATTTACAGTTGTAAATACATAGAATTTTTAAAATTTGAAAATGGCAAACAGTTCATTACTGGGCAATATATACTGGTAGCAAGCAGCAATTACAAAGAAACGAAGAATGTCTTAGTAAAGGATCTAGTATAGCCTAAACATCTTTGGTTAAATGAACCAAATGAATTGTTAGCTTATGTTCTTGAATAGAAGTTGTTTTATGATTTATATCAATAACGGTTAATGTGAGGGTCATGAGTTCAATATAGCAAAAGAATATTTGCACTTTTTATTGGAATTTGAACAAGACTGACCAATTTATGATACATTAAAGGCCCAAATAACTTTGGAAGGATTGCTGAAAACAATAAGCGAATCAACGACTAAACGTATCACAATACATGAATTTCCAAAATATTTTCTCACGCTTATATTTAATGCTTGAAATATAATGTGTTTTCGGTTAAAGTGACATGATGGCAAACTTTGGCAGTTAAAGCTTTATGCTCGGGTTAATGACAGTGTTATTAGCTCAAAAAGGAAATATTGTTGCTATATTGTATTAAAACAATTCACTATAATAAGCTTTATTGTTTTAGTATAAGATCAACATGAGACACAGTCTCAGCATGCAATCTATATACTGTACTTATTATGATACAACTAATTAACAAAGTGTTAATTGAAATAGAAACATCAAACAACATTTTACTGTCCCCTGTAGTCATTCACTGTCGCTAATTGCCTTGGGAAATTATGTATGTGTACATGACAGACAGTGAAAACAAAACGATTTTCAGTTCTCATGTTTTTATAGACAATTTCTCTCATATAGACCTATACACAAACATTTATACATCAACTACATTTAATAGGTCCATATCAATTTCTAACAGTTTTGGTCCAGCACTTAGAGTCAATAAGACTGTTGATCGAACCTGAATTTAAATGTACAATGTCAACAAAACAGTTGGTATTCAAAACTTACACTTACTACTATGTTGGATATTTTCACACTGTTAAATCTGTTTAAGTCAATATAAGGGGTGGTTTAATTGATAGATTTTCTAGAATTTTCCAGGAGAATTCCATTAATCTATATGCAAGTACATGGATTACCCTAATCCAAGCCTTTGTTTTGGACATCCATGGGATTAGGGCTTGAACATGTGAAATAACACAACTGAAAAGGTGTTTGGTTTCAATAGCACTGTGTTTAAAGTGGTAGTTTCATTTGACTCAAATAACCTGATTGAATATTTTAACACTGTCAAAAAGTGTTTTTCTCTAATCCCATGAAAACCCATACATACTTGACTTAATTAAACTACCAGGAGCCTTGACTTGGGAAATCATTAGAACAGTTTTAGTGTAGCTTTAAAAATCATATCTTCTAAAATAAAAATGAGAATAATATATATAGTAATCTGAACCCATAGGCTTAGCTTTATAGTTGGGTCCCCAGTCCATCTCATAGGAGAATGATCCATATTGGTCCAAGATCAGATAGTAATCATTGGTGACAAATTCAACCGTAACTGTCCATTGCATGCAAATATATTTATCCTTGAATGACCTACATTCTACATCAATGTTTTTGGGCAATGGTCTTGGTTCAAACATTTCTAGAATGAAGATTTAAGTAGTGATTGCCATGTTCCATATTTCTGATCTCTGGTCACTTTGGTTGTCATACAGATTACTTCATTATCACAACTCAGCAGTATGGACCATAAAATCGAAGCCATGCTGATATAAGAAGATCCCCATATTGGTGACAATATTAAAAGACGGGTACATTATCTCTAACCCAAAGAGTAGAAGAACAACTCTTTTGAAGAAGCAATATCCAAATAGTATGGTGGCACCGAATATGATTCTGAATTCTTTGTTAATTATTTGACCTAGTACTGACCTGGGAGTTCTGGTGACATTTTCTAGATCTGCCAGCATACTTCATTTAAAATCTGGGTTTCTCTGGATTCTAATTATGTCAGAATATTTCGATTCTCAGAGTGCCTGGGAAATCCCCAAAGACACATAACTCTATTTTCTCAGAAGAATGACTAGCTTTCAGTTTTGACATTTTCCTTCTAATGAACATCACACAATTTTAGTAGCGGACATGTGACGCTCTAATTCTCTCATCACTTTTCTAGCAATATGAAATATAAAGGAGAACTGACAAGGACAGAATATTAATTTTGTGGACATCAATGCTAAAAATCTGAGTAATATTCATACTGCCTAATCAGTGTCACATAACCCTACCCCCGTAACTTTGGGATAGATTCTTCAAATCACCCCACAACTACATGACCTTACGTATTGAACTCTTGGGGTTCGGAAAAACGTTGTCATTTGACACAAAGCTTATAATTAATCAACATGATTTTGAATAACAAGATTTGAAAAATCATCACCATTACCCACATTTATGGGGGTATAATACCCCCTCCCCCTCCTAGCGTGATTACTTTGATCTTGTAGTAGAATGTCTAGCTAACCCCTCACCAATCGTAATGACAAAGGGGTGAAATTGAGTTCATCAAATTTCTCCTTAAATGTGAAATGAGGGACTACATCTACAATTCTCTGAGAATCAGAGAGACACATGAAAAATGAAATTGAAAAACTTTGCAAACTCACCAAAATTGGCTTCCAAGTTTTGCAGTAACATCAGCAGAAAAACTGCTTTCCAAAAGATTCCCAACATCTCGACAGCATATCAGTATAAATCCAATTCACCATTAATAAGCTTTTTTATCTCAAAATTGGCTCATCATTTGTTATAGAACGAAATCCACTTATGAAAACAAACACAGCCACTTTCATGTGTTTTGACTTCTGTATGTTTCAAACCACAGGCACGCGGAAGGATAGTGAAAGTTTAAACCAATGAAATAACTGGAGACAAAAATCAATTTAACTTCTGACCAATTAGAACTGGCGTTGCATATTCTCACATTTGATTAGGTTATACTGACATTTAAGTGACATCTATATATTGGAATGTTATGGATTTATTACAAGTTCTTTCACTGTTCAAACAGAGACCTCTTTAAATACAATATTCTCTCTGTACTGTATTCAATGCATGCAAAGGAAGGTTTTGTGGAAAATACAATAGTATAAATACCTGATTTCAATGGTGTGACTTCTTCAGAAAATTATAAAAGTGCCCAATGCTTCAGAATTTAATGTTAATTACTCATCGGAAAGGCTTCAAGAAGCTTGGTGCTAATAGCCAGGTTTTGGCAAGGGGCGCTCACTTCTCAAAAAATTCCAGGGGGTTCACACTTGACAATTTTGGGCTAAAACCACTCAGAAAGTGCTCACAATGGTGAGAACTGCATGACTTTGAAAACATTTTGGGCCAGGGTGGGGGCCGGGGAGGGGATCACTCGCACCCCCTGGCTACTTGCCTGTCTTTGCATAGATATGTGTGCCAGAATTTGACATAAAACTACATCAATGTGTCATTGAAGTCTTTATGCATTTGGGCCAAATTCCTAAAACATAACATGACAGAAACTTTAAAGTGTGTCACATTAAAGAGATTAAAAAACAAACCCAATTTTTATTAAAATCTATTTATTTCATCAAATAACAATTGTTTAACATAATAGAACTATTTTCTAAAACCATTTGATATAATATATTCTTCAATATATATTGTTCACATCACTAAATGAAAACAAAAATATTTCAATAAATGAATGACTCCCGAGAAATGATTCATTTAATGGTGAACATGACTTAAGAACACAATATATAAATCATGACAAATTTTTTCTCAATAATTTTACTCTAACCTTTCCAGAAGGTCTTACTTTTTTTATTATAACAGTCAGGGGCGTAGCCAGCTTTCAGTCAGGGGGGGGGGGGTGCGATCGGCAAAAATTATTCAGTTTTCAGTAAGGGATTTTTCAGTGGGATTGTGGCATAAACAAGCCAAAAAATAAGATTTATTTTGAATTATACAGAAATTGATGCAACTTCCTTCAAAATTGAGCTAGAAGCTTTAAATAAAGAGCATTTAAAGCTATTTTCTTATTTCTCATGGTTTTATCTTTATTGGTTATGGTTACGATCGCACCCATCACACCACCCCCCCCCTGGCTACACCCATGACAGGCAATGCACAATGGAGGTCCATCCATTATGCATCTGTTATCATTCCAACAATATAGGCACTAGGTCCATACAGTTAAAAAATTATTCAACCAAAAATAAATCAACAATTTACATCACTCTATGCCATTTGTATATTGCAGCTTCATTTAAGTTAAAGCAAGATACCTTAAACTATATACATAACAATAACCCATATAAAGTTTCATTGTTTAAGATCATTGGATAAAACAAGGGAAAATGCTTTTAATTCAAATAAAGGCTTGTATGTTCAAATGTTCAATATACTGTACTACTTATGACATGGTGTTGGTATATGCTGTTTGAGCAAGGCCTCATTTCCTTAATGACAACTCAAAATATAACATTTTTATTTCTTCATATACATTTAATATATTGGCTCAGTTTTTACTTATTGTATATAATCCTATATACATTGTCAGATGACATTTCAACTCTGACAAGCACTTTCATTCATAAAGATATTGAGGAACATTTTTTTCTAAAATATCTCATTGGATTTCATTTAGCTCCAGTATCTTCCCCTACTGGAAACTCTAAAAATCATCTGGACCACTCACATAAAAATTTCCCAACTCAAAACACATGGAGTGATTCATTTAACATTTTAGGACACTGCTTACGTTTTGGAATAACATTTTCAAGAACTTTTTTACAATGAAATACCCATAAGATGAACATACTAAAGGTAAATATGTACACATAAGATGTACATATAAAAGGTAAATATACATAAGATGTATGTATTAAAGGTGAATGCACATTTAAAGGTATTCTTATTATCTCCTCCAATCAATTAACTGTAAAACAATAAATAGTCTGAATATCTGGCAGTTATGAATTTTCAAGAAATTATCACTATATTTATTTTATGTTATTCTCCCTTCCACACAAGCCTTGTGTAAACCATTAAAATCTGATCAAGGACTTAATACGTTAGTGTTTTTATTCTCCATTTAGCCACAATAAAGCAATACAGAATAGTAACAATATTGCAATGGAGCAAAGCAACAACATAACAAATCAACATAGCAACAAAATAGCAATGCAGCATAGCAACAACAAACACATAATATAACATTTTTGTACAACCTTAAACCATGGTATTAGAAAATAAATGTAAAACATTTGTCATTTACAACTTTGTTGTACATTGTACATATGTTAAAGAATCACAACATTGCTTTTTATGTAAAGTATATGTAAGTAAAACTTGAAGAAAAACTCAAAGGATAACCCTTTATCCAGACTTAGACATCACTTGACTCACACATAATCTGAACCTCAGAACAAAATGCTTTCAAATGAAATAGCCGAGATTACGTACTTTAGCATACACTTGTTTTCATGTACAGTACTGTTGTAGATTGTATTAACATTATACACAATATTATTCCTAAGTTTGCGAGTGGCCAGTTAATCCTCCCGAGATATCTTGTATACTTTCTTGACTATATCTACATTTAAATAGTTCATTTACATGTAAAATATAACCTCTTGGTTAAGTCATAGCAAATGGTTACAAAAGTGTAACGATTGTTACAGATGCTGAAATTCATTTTCATTAACAAATGAATGAAAGCTAAACAATAAGTCAACACTTTTTGGTTCAATTAAAACATAGTTACATGCATTTACATATATTAACCCTTGTGCTGCAAGTTCTCCAATAGCATTATTTAGAGCATCTAATCCCAATAACATTACCCCCATATCAAAAGGTGGTTTGAACTAGCAGGGGCTAAATACTGCATTTCATGTCATGTTTGTGTAGTAATGAAAGCATTGGTTTTTAAGGCTAGCATGCTTCTGCTATCAATGGTAGAATATTTATTAAAGGCTAATCAATTTGAGATATTTTCTATGAACTGAGGGAAACCTCAATAAATCAATGTTGCCCCCCCCCCCGATTTATTAGATTATCAATTGCATTTCAGGCTGACCCCTTTTCAAATACATATTCTTTTCAAATCAAAACTTGCTTCGAAAATGATGCATGCTAACAAAATACAATATGAGCTCAAACATCCCCCACCCCAAACATGACTATTATTTTCTGGCTCGCATCGATTAGTTGCACTTGCCTCTAACTAACGATACATTAAGTACATCTATTACATCATTTATATTATTGCATCGCATCTGTTTTATCACAATAATAAAAATAATCATGACATTTCAGTTTCTCTATATCAAATTCTCCATTTTAGTCAAGCATTAAATAATATTGGTAAATGACTTAGAAAAAAAACTATGAAACAACTTTGGGCGTGTCTTGTTTTAAAAATGGTGCTTGTTGTTGCGCTAGAATAGCAGCATCAGTCTCTTTTCTTGCAGCAGCTAATATATCGCGTCCACCAGCTTTTCCTACTTTTTGAGCAAGTTCCATTCCTAGTTTCTCACATGCATTCAGGACATCTTGGTCTTCCCCCTCTGCAACTATGCTGGAATATTGCTTGGGTGATGTGGGTGAAAGCTACAACAGATAGTAAGGAGAATTATTTCACTGATATCTACGTTTTTCAAGTTTTAATACAATTATGTACACTTTTAAAACAAATTCAGAAACTACAAGAAACAAATTCAGAAACTGGTATTATGAACGATTTAGTAAAAGAGAATGAGAAAATCAAAACAAGATATTAACAACCAAAATGTCACCACCTGCCATTTGTTACATACACTGACCACTGAACACCAGCTGCCATTCACAAAAATGTTGGAGACTATAACAATATAATGGTGACATAAAAATCCAAGTCACAACATTTACCTTCTTGGTGGGTGGTTCATCATTAGATGCGATGCTTGTGTCTTGTTTCATTATGACACTCTCAGTGCCATCTATACTGAATACACCGCCCTTCATGAAAAGATTGTCATCAATGATCTCTGTGTGTATAGCAACTGGCACACTGCACCCTCCTTCCTAAAAATACACATTTGCATGGCACATGAGTAATTATGTTAGTAATTTAACTTTCATTGCAGTTTTGTGTGTAGAATCTATAGTTCAATCAACGAATTGTAAGGAATGTGAAAATGAATGTAAATATAACTATGTGTGAAGTAGATTGTAATTAGTTTATGTAGTGTAGTGATTCTGTTCTCTTCTATGGGGTTTATATATGATTTTTATTATTTGATATACCTTGATGTAAATATATGAAGTTAAACTGTGTATGACAAAAACAAATAGAATAAATAATTTACTGAGACGGGTTGAATATGGGTTTTGTTCCAAGCCCCGTATGATATTTCATGAGGGAATATATGAAACCCATATTCAATTCCTGACGAGGAAATCAGGTGAATAGGATTCCAATACAGGGATGACCTGGTGAATACGATTTTTCGAAGGATTTATCAATACCAAATCCCTGGTGTTATTCACCTGGAATCTACTGTATATTCCATATAGTATCATGGTATAAAACTATTTATAACCTTACCAAAGTTCTGAGGAATGCTCTCTCTGCAACTACCCTGATGACTGTCTCAAAATGGTGAAGTTTAGATAGAAGGCGAATGGTTTCTAGATCCCCATCTCTGCATTCTACTGCAACAGCACCTTGACTCACTGAGTACATACACTCATCTGGTAAGAGGATCTAGAAAGGCAAGTCATAAGCATGTTAAACCAGCATTCCATTTGTAAAAAATAGTACTTGTCGTGTTTTGGGATTTTTGGTGCCAGTATGATTTTATTCCCTTTTCTACTCTACTTTTTTTCCTGAATTTCAAACATTCACTTCAAAAGCACAAAACATGGAATGAATTTGGAAATTGCACTTTAAAAGCTGTTCCAGAGAAATCATCTTATTCTGCTGTATATAATACTGGCATCATTCTATATGGTATAATACCTATTCTTTCATTTCACCCAATAAATGTTTATACACTCTAATCCTGCCACTCTACCTGATCTATTCTATCACTCCACCCCATACGCTCCAATCCTGCAACTGCTAACACAATAGCATCATAGTTGTCTGCTTCATCTAACTTTTTCTTCCTCGTGTTTAGGTTCCCACGCTGGTAGAACTGTCAAGGAATTTATAATGCGAAGAAACATACAAGTCTTTTCTAATGCAGGATAAGTTATTTTGTGAGGCCAGTTGGTAATATGTTTTTCCCATGATTTAATCATCCCATTGAAAAATATTGGTCAAATTGTCGAATTTGTAGCCTAGCAACATGGTGCAACATAAGCCCTAAAGCAAAGTCAGTCATTTTATCTAGCTGATTTTTTAGAGCAATTAGAGTGAAAATAAGATGCCATTATGGTCCTTCAAAGTAAATGGAATAGGTCAGAAACTCTGAAACCAATACACCTGTAGAGACAGATTACCCGTATCTTTTGTATTTTTCATATTTGTATTAAAAGGATACAATATCTGAATATTTGAGATGTGGGTATTTCCTTCGTAGCTGTGATGCCCTGCGTAGTGAACTGGTTCCAATGACGCTGAAAATACAAACAAATTATAAGTGTCACTGAAAACTTCTACTTACGATTACTACAATTTTTACTTTTAAATCTATCCATGAAAATGGTATCAAGTAAAATATTCTTATTATGCTATACCTGTCTTTGGGTAGATCAGCCAGTGTCTTGCCCTTATGTTTTGGGTGTAGCATGATAGCATCATGCGGATTATCTCTCCTGCAAAAACAACAAACACACCTCTCAATACTTATATACAACAAACATGTGTAAACCTCAATGCCCTTTAACTGGCAAGTATTTAGGTTATTATGGAAACGTACAACAGTTCAGTTACATATTTTTTTATTTTGTACTTTTACATGTCGATATAATTGCATATTTAATGACTGTGGCATCAACCATGTCTTATTTGTTGGTTGTGGCTGAGTTTGTTTACACCAAGAGCCCTACGTAGAGTATTAAGTAATTACCTTTCTTCCTACCAGAATTAAACTTAATCTGGATAAACTTTACACTACATGAATATAGAATTCATAATCATCTTTAATAAAAACATAATATTGGCCATAAATGACTTACACATTAGAGCACCACCTATCTATGATTGCAAAACTTTATTTACTAAGGCTTGAATATCAAAATGTGTAAACATAATTTACAATATCTATGATCATGGAAATATACACGTATGATCAATGATTAGTGAAACATTATTTGCCAGCTAATGTGATTGATCTATTGACTTAAGTATCAATTTTCAACATAAAAGAAATGAAATCCAATATGTAAGGTGAGCAAATAAGTCATATTTCAAAAATCCATAACTTGTTACTTTAATATGCAATGAAATAATATTATCAGACATATTATTATTCAGATAAATATTGGTGCTAAAATATTATTTTGCTAAGAAACCTAGATTTTTACAAAAATCGTGAAAGGGTGAAATAAAAAAAATGAGGGTTTAAAGTCTTCATATTACCCATCTCCCATCCAGATCCACCTATTTGTGAAATTCTTTCCTGTCTCACATATATTTGACATAATGTCTATTGCCTGCTGGAGTTCCACCGCTTTTCTTAAATTAATGCTTCTTAAGCCACCCCCCTCATCATCTTCCCTAACTTAGAGGCGCATATTAAAAATGAAACATGGCATATCAAAGTTGACATACATTTTCCAATAGACTAGATGCGAGTAGAAATATTCTTGATTTACGTCATTAAATATTCAAAATTCAGTCAAAGTGATGTCATATATGAAATCTACATGTAAAAATACATAGAAAAATATGGTTTCGAAAATTGTTTATCAACTTTGAAAATTTTATATTTTTTGAAAATGTGACTTCTAGTTCGGGTTGATTCCCCATAGACCCCATATTATAAAATCACAAAAAGTGAAATATCTTTTCTTGTATTGGACATATAACATTTTCTTTTACTGGACACACTTTAATTTGCATAACTATTCGATACATTAGGGCTATATGAAAATTGAATCACTACAACAATTGTAATTTAAGTTAAAGGGAACTTTCTACTATACCCGCCATGCTATCTGACCCGAGCGAGCCACCTGGTGGTGAAACTGGTAACTACCTACTCGCATTTGCGTTATTAGTCTTATATCAATAATCCACAAGCCTTTCTCATTTTTGTCAACATGTGATTTAGACTTCTGGACTTGTATACTTACTTGCAAACAGCACCTATGACCATGCCGGGAGGTAGAGTTGTTGGAAGGTCCTTCAATGAGTGTACCACAAAGTCAACACGTTTGTCTTCTAAGGCATATTCCAGTTCCTTTGTAAACAGACTTTTTTCTCCAATCTGGAATCATCCAAAATTTCATCAACATTAGTCAAGCATTCATCCCATATACACTGCCCCTCATATTTAACACAGAGTCAAGTGATTGACAAAAATGTGGGATGTCGGAGAGAAGATAGACATGTTACAATGATATTCCGGACCTCCATATGGTTCTTTATAGTCTTGCATCAAGCCCCCGGGCCTCTCCTCAAGTAGGCTCGATGCAACATTTTCCTTTTCCCAAATCGCATAACAATATACACATGACCTCCACAATGATATTCAGGACCTCCATATGGTTCTTTATAGTCTTGCATCAAGCCCCCGGGCCTCTCCTCAAGTAGGCTCGATGCAACATTTTCCTTTTCCCAAATCGCATAACAATATACACATGCCATATACACGTATAGCCTAGATGAGTATGATTAGTTCTAATGTAAGCCATCTAGTTTAATATAGAATAACAGGGAATATAGAAAACTGAGACTAATGTTGAAATATAAATAGATGAGAACAAATTATAGTGTTTAATTTTTTTAAGGATGAATATTAAATTCAAAAATAGTCAATGAATAAAATGTACATGTGTGTGGTTGGTAAGTGGTTTGATCTTTGGCTTTTCAAAACACAAGCCACGAGATTAGAGGTTTCTGTTAGCTAGCTACAAAGAAGCATGCAAGTAAGGCATGCAGCTCTCTCTACAAGATTTTAGTATTAATATAAGTGAATCAAGTACCTTGGCCACCCTTGTTACTTCATGATTTACTTGATTAGGGTCTTCATCCTAGATATAGACAAAGAAAATTGACAACTCCATCAAAACACTTTTATTTGTGACAGACTAAATCTTTATAAATGCAATATGGTCAATTTGACATGAAATAACCAGTTTTAAAATATTCCATGAGAAAAGAATTCTCGCATCAAGACTCTAGCTTTCCTCTAATTCAGACAAATGAGGCTTAAACAATGCATGTATTAATTATGGGGGTCAAAGATATGTATGCAAGAACACAAAAAAATAAGCGCTCAAAAATAAATGAACTTAAAACTCAATTATGTTATTAACAGGTCACTCATCTGAATTGAGAAAGTTCTTATCTGAAAACGTTGTGAAATATACAAGTTGTTTTTCAAGTGTGTATGATATGATTTTCTGCTAACCATAAGATGAGATAAACAACGAAGCACATGCAGAACAGCTCATCTGGTAACTGAGATTCGTGCAGACATTCAGACCAACCAACTTTTGACCCTGTCATGCTGGAACTTAGACTTGTCTGTTCTGAATTTTGTAGTAAACAATGTTTTTAGTTCACTGCTCTATGAAGAATATTAACCTTAGAAAAAAACAGTCCTTTATTTTTATAAAGAACACATCTATTTTAAGGCAAAACATTAAGCGAAAAAACTTAATATATTGTTTGTGACACAAATATTATGCTTAAGTCAAACCTCAATGAGAGCAAACTTTAGTACACTAGACAAACTAAACACAGAAAGAAGAACACATTTTACTGAATGATTTCAATTAGTGAGTAAAAATGTGAACACCTCTCCTTGAAAATGAATACTTATTGGTTGTCAATGTTTAATTTGCAAAGTTTTAACAAACATTTATATTTAGGTTATCTTGTCTGATGCAGTGTGAAAGTCCTATGCTACCCTGGAGTAAAAAGTATATATACTACGCTCTGACTAGGAACCCTAATTCTATGATTTGCCATTCAACCAATCAGAGAGCAGAGAACATGCAGAGGAAATCATGGCTCAGAGCAACAACTGGGTTTGATTAGGGAGGTTAAGATATATATTTTTGAGAAAACATGCATGTGAATATGTTTAATATCATGACCCCTCAAGATTACTGTCACCCTCTCAATTAGTTTTTCAAGGGACCTCATAATGTACATAACTTTATACTCGCAATTGGGCAAGTAAAACAAGAACTGATCCAAAGAGCAGCTGCAAAGAGGACCAAAATTCTATAAGGTTAACCTCTCCTTGATTGAATGAAAAAAGTACATAGGACGCATTTTATCCCTTTTGTAAAGGGTGATGTTAAGCCATATATAGGACATCAAGGACTTCTAACCACATAAGCAATTAAAAACTGAACTAAATGATCATCTTTAATAAGTGATAGTGAAATGATTAATGTTTTAAAACAGACGGTCAAAGATTAGAGATTGGAGCACATTGTCTGGCATGAAAATCAGGTGTAAACTAAGTTTGGTATAATATTGTAAAATCTAAATCTGCTTATCTTTTTATTCATCATCAAAATAGCCTGCTAAATTAAATCTATAATCAGAGGTAGAAGGGGTGACAAAATTGCAATCAACATTTGCAATTGTTAAACCAATTTGTGTCTATTATGTTCAAATTATAATATCTCAATATATGAGATGTTATATATGATCATAAACAAATGAAGTATTTGTGCTCCATGGTTGTGAGGCAATAACTTCACGACTAATGTTGATAACATACTACATGATACTATACACTACAAAACAATAAATACTGTGTCATCTTCCACTTCAAGGTGATTATAACAACTTGGAGCAACTGAAACCCTGTGAATCATGATGATGCTATGTTGATTTGAGATGGAAGACTTCTATCTCACATTCATTGAGCAGACCAATGACGCAAAGACAAAATTTGTTCAATGTTCCATAAACTAATGTTACAAAGACCCATGTTTCATAGAGCCATAGACCAATATTATGTGCACTTGTGCATAAAGTCCAATTTTACATAGAATATTGCTAATCTTGTAGATCAGTGTTATAACATCGTGAGATATCATGGCTTTCTACTTGCTTCTCTCTATATCTAGTTAAAGGCAGAAAGATGTGATGATTATCAGAATGGTGTTACAAAGACACATCAATGATACATACCTTGGACAATGCTTTATCTAGAACCTTATCTCCAGTTGTGGACATGGAAACTGAAAAACAGACATCACATAAAAATATAGATTGTTGTATGTAGGTACAAAACAAATAGGAAATTTATGATGTGAAACAAAAAATTGATTTGAACTCAAAATGTTCTTGATACTTAATTGTCTGGTGCTGCTTTTTCAAGTCCAGTTGAAAATATTATATATTATTCAAAATAGCAAAATATTAAAATGTTTTAAAGTGTAAATCATTTTAGGTCCATATACATAATGTTCACATCCTGGAGTTTGTTTTCCATTATGTAATATCATATCATTTGACGATAACAAACAAATACAAGGTTATTCAGGTCATTTGGTTACTCTCATTAGAGGCACAGCTGTGTACTAATTATAAAATCATAAAAGACCTAATACCAAAACTGTCATAGTATAACTTAATCATGAAGTATTCTATAACTATAATAATCCAACTCAGAATTCATAAAAAATATATCAATGAATGAAGAATGAGGATGTTCCATTTCTAATCTTTTTCTGATCAAATTAAAGAAAAAAAAATTGTAAACACAAAAACTGTGGACATTTAGAGTCACCGTTTGAGAACAGTTTTTACTTGATATAGTAGAAAATGTGATGAGTACATTTTGAAAACTGAAGGTTGCATTTTTTGATTGGTTTTACCGCTGGAAGATTAAGAACTTATAATTAAGAATGGTGTTTTATTATAGATAAGTTAAACCATGAGTTTTTCTAGTGCTTAAGCATTAGGCTTTAAATTAATTTAACCCGAGAAGACCGAGAGGCTTTAAATTTAACAAAAAATAATATGTGGACATGCCATATTGATAACTTTCTAAATAACATGACAGTTTTCTTATCTTAAATGAAACATAAATTGAAGTGACTAGTCTCAAACCTGAAGGTTAAATCAGAAAAAAATATTTTTTGTGGTAAGAAAACAACTTGTATTGCTGATAAATGATAACATAGCTGATTAAATTAATAAATTATGTTGGTTAATTCTGATAAACTTAAACTTTGTTTCATTTAGATGTATGGGTATTCCAAACAATTTACAGTTGTTCGACCTATATAATAATGCATTGTACAAAAACTATTTTTGAATTCATGTCATGTTAAAATAATGCTACGAGTCGTGTGACAAACCAACACATTTGTATTTAAAATGTTAACAATTTTTTGATTGCTGGATTTACGGGGTGCTAACATGTTTTTATCTATAGAGTTGTATCAGTTTTGGCTATAAGAATAAGACAAAAGTGATGATAACCCTACCCTATATCTCGATTGAAAACCTTTAAAAGCAAACATCATTTTTTATCTTTACTGTAAACAAAGTATTTGAATTGGATTATCCAGTAAATACACATTTAGTAATTTACATGTAAAAATTTAAATTTATCCATTCTTATATTACAGTTTAAGGGGGTCAGACCAAAATATAATGATGTCTGTAGAACATAATTAATTTCAGGCTCCAACCCTTCCCTTTGTAAAGAAACGGAAATGGCACAAACATATAAAACAAACTGAAAGACATTGAAATGGTCTTTAGTATTTACCTGATCATCAAACATTCTCCAAATAGGTACATGGCTTTTATAAGACAGGCCTGTAGCCAGGGGGGTTCACAGGGTTCAGGCAATCCCCCCCTGGCCAAAAATTCTTTCAAAATCATGCAGTTTTTCACTATTTTGAGCACTTCTCAAGTGATTTTAGCCATATTTGGGCCAAAATTGTCAAATGTGAACCCCCTCTTGAAATTTTTGAAAACTGAACCCCCTTGGCAAATTCTGGCTACGAGCCTGTAAGACAAATACAAAATACTTCTTACTGGCCTGAACAATAATATGGATATGCAACTCAGCACTTCATATTAAAGCTGGGTGTATCAACAAATAGAGACTGGTCAAAGAATAATAATATGTTTTACTTACTGATTTGGAATGTGATATTTGGGAAAAAAGTCTTTAGCTTGGCCACCACTCCATGTGTCTGTATAAGTGCAAGCTGGAAAAACAATGAAAATATTTATATAAAACACAGAGGTTGTGCATAGAGAAGTGATCCAATAGTCCTTCTGGGGAAGAGAAGATTTGGTTGGATCAAGGGCGTTACAATACCCGGGAATTTATCGGTTCGTGCAGTACTTGTTTGTGATAGCGCCATCTGCAGGTCACTGTGGTTATAGCCTACATAATACGGGGTAGGATATCGGGAATTCGGTGCAGTTTCTATCCGTCGATTACACTATGAATTGAAGCAAATGTGACCACTTTATCCACTTAAACAATTTGATAATTGATTAAATCGTTTAACAAAATCGATAAACACGTCATACACTTCCCATCTCCTTAGAAATTAGCATGTATTTATCGGATTGTGTTTTCGGACAATGCTCGACCCAGACCACTAGGGAAATCCTTATGCTAATTAGTATGACGTCATATTTTCCTGGGGAATCCTAGATTTCAAAGCCTCGGTCTTTTATTGTATCATATGTAAACGTTCTTTTGCAGACAGATAATTGACAAATTAGCTTTTAACTTTCAGCTTTGATGTTTAAATATTCTATATTTCTACCGGACTTCTTGCTGAATATCATATAATGTTATAACTTGATTTGGATTTTGGACGATTGCCTGATTGATCCTTTCTGAAATTTTGATTGTGATAAACGATTGATTGGCAAGAAAAATAATTCTTATTGTTTTCCAGCGAAGTCACTAAATGTTACAGCATAAATTATAATAAGTGGGAAGTAGAATAAAGGATGGGCGGGGCCAGGGGATTGGTGGCCCTACCAGCCCCACCAATTCACACGCATACACATAAGAGACAAACACACCCAGGCCGTGATGGAAATATAAAACTATTTAGGGCACAAAATGGTATTTAATAGACCGATATGTAGTGAATCCGCCATGTATTGAAGGTAAAACAATCTGCATTATTGTTACTTCTATCAATACATGGATTGTGCAATGGAAAAGCAATGGCACAATCAAAAATGTGCATATCAATTAGTGGTGGGACTCGCCCGAATTTTCGGACTCGATTATCGGGACCAAACTGACGACGATTAATCGAATAAATTCGATTTTTTGTAGGGAATCTCCCAACCCGCTGCCAACCACTTTTTTGATGTAAATCATCGATGTTATTGAAAAAACAAATAAAGTGCAATGTGTTACATACCTTCAAATTTGTTTTTTTGTTTATTTTATCAACTCTAAAGGCGTATAACAAATAAAAAAGACGCCCGGAAGTAAAATTTCGAAATGCATTTAATTATTTTGCTAATTAGCGGCTCCAGCTATAGAATTTGCAGCACCCCGAAGGTCAACTTCGAAACGAGGCTCTGACCCTATTATTATTATCCTACTGTAGCATTTCGTCCAGAGCTCACTGAGATAAGGTTAGATCCCGGAAGTAAAAGAAATGAACAAAACAAATTGTTTTCTACATGTTATTTTACGTTTTATTAGCTGATTATAGATCAACATGTAAGTACTTTTATAGTAGTCTAAATGGTGTTCCTGACTCGAATTGACGTAACCCAACTCGAATGGTACACAATTCGAGCCGAAATCGGAGGTGAAAACAAAAATCGAATTTCAAATTTTTTTCCCCAAACGAGTGATTATTCGAGTTGCCGATTTATCGTAGCACCACTAATATCAATCGTGAATATCTCTCGGTTCAAAGCTTAATTCCAACAGAATCGTGTCAAAATATGTGTCTGAATAACAGTTATACAAATATAAGATCGCAAACTCTTACAAATTATCAGCCGAATGGCTAATTTTCAACGAAATGTCCTTAAGACAACAGCCCTGGGTCGAGCCTATGACGAAAATAAGCTTGAATATCCCTCCCCTAAATAATATTCTGAACGAAGCGCCACTTCCCGCTGAAATCACCGGGTATTGATCTTTCCCTTGGTTGGATCAGCCCACTTGTCTTAAATAGATAATTACAATCTTACAGATAAGGTAAAACCACTGGGTATGACACTGTAAACAGACTTGGCCACACATAGTTTGCTACTTTATCCATTTACCCCAAGCTGTGATAATACATACATGTTTTTTATGGAGAGTTGTTATCTAGTGCTTGCAACGGTAATGGATCTCACTGCCGGTAAATTTCACCTCCATTACCTTACCGTTACCGATAATCGTTGATACTGATAATGTTCCTAAAATCCCGGGGAAAAATCTGAAAGTGAAACTAAAATATTTGGAAAAATCCTTAACGAAGCCGATTTCTCAGCTTGATTTCCCGCTCACATCAACTACAGTGGATATATTGTATCATCGTGTATCTCGTGTGTGATTGTGTATTGTTAGGAAGTCTTTAAATGATAATATAGAGTGAATTCGATCAAAATTGATTAAATTATTTGTGTTTGTTTTTACTTCACCGAAATATCACGTCACGTGATTTGTTAATCTCGCGGCATGGGAGATGATTGACAGAAGTGGGCGGGGTTTTGCTTATCCTCCCGCCTTTTACGAATGATTTGCAGTTGATTGACAGATTAGCTCTTCAAATGTGGAGATTGAAATATACATGATTGATAAAATATTCTTAAACGAACATTGTTTCGTAAATTTGACAATGGATCGCAATGCCAATCATGTTGCAGCAGCATGGCGATTATCGGCAATGGATTTTATTACCGGCAATTGAGAGTATCTACTGCCGCTGCCGACAATCCGGCATTACCGTAAGGCACTATTGTTATCACAAAACTGAAAAAATAATTTTGCTATGTATCTGGAAGAGGCTAATACAGTATCATGAGTACAACATGCAAGTTGTGTCTGCAAATTCATACAAGTGGACTGTATTTTGTAACATGTTCCCAACCCCTTTCAACATTTCAATACTGTAAATTGTTTTAATTTGATGGCTATTTTAATTTTGTGGATTAATCAAAACCACCCAATTAAATCTTCGCCTATGTTTGATTGTAACCCTATTTTTAATAAATTTTAACTCATATATGAAAGAAAGGGTCTCACCAAAGACTAACCAAGCCATGTGACTTCATAGCTTGCCCTCATATATATTTCACCATGGGCTTTCAAGAGACCATGATTTTACTGATGGGTCAATCCGCCAAATTAAATAGTAGCCAATATTTCAAAATCTGCTTAATCCGCCAAAAGTGAAAAAGTAAAACAGCCTTCATAGCAAGGGTTATTTAGAATTTTTTAAAATATCTATATTTTATCTTTTCAAATTACTTTTGATGGGCCATGGGGTGATTCACGCTTTTCTTATTTTTGAATTTTTCTAAAAATTTCGCTGCAGTGGAATCAAAAAATAATCGATTTTTGGTATGTATTTGGTATAATCTTGCTGAATTTGAAAGTTTATCGTCTCATTCTCTCCCAAACTGCCGAAAATGTGCCTTGTAAATTACATTTACAGAATCATTGTCCTTCAACTAGAAGCCCATGCCAGAATGAATGTCTCCAAGGCTTCATACCAGCATACGTATATGATACATTTCTCACGAATTGGGAGTTCAAATTTTGATTTCTGAAACCTGGGCATTCTCTGTCAATAGTGGTTCAATCTGTAAGATAATTGCTCAGGAGTCAATTCAATTGAAGTGTGCAAAATATCAAATACTAGATTTCAACATGAATTGTGAAGTCAAGTCCTTCTCCAAATGAAATCAGAAGACATCGCCTTTGAATGTTGAGGACAGAGCTTGTCATACTCACTGAGACTCTTAGGTAAAGATAGAGAAACAATTAAAGTTATCTCAAGGCAGATCACTTGCAATTCAACCACATATATCAGTGTTACCTTCTTCTAAGGCCACTGTATCGTGGCCTTCCAGTACAGATATATTCCTGCATGAACAACTGGTCATGTCGTAATCATAAAATTTGAAATCATATGTCCGCCATTTTTCCACATCACAATTTGAATTGCGAGTTTTGGTCTTATTACCTCACCAAAAATTCCAAAACACACACAAAGTGATCAGTGTATTAGTTCACATCTTCTGGATCGCTAACTTAGAATTTACAGCCAGTTACTAATGTCAGACGTAACGACATTTCGTCCAGTTTTCGAACATCGCCATTTTTCTTGGAGCCATTTTGTTTTAATTTTAGACGAAATCCTGATGAAATCATGTCATATCTCATCAAGGAGCCGAGCTGGGTCCGGTTTGATAAATGATTTATTTATCTGGCGATTTTTAAAATATTCAATAAATTTATGACACCCCGGCAGCTTTTTTCAAATAGAGTCACAGTATTCCAGATGAATCCCCTCTAGCCAAGTATTGGCTAGAGACTCGAGTAATATCAGTGGCGTTGCGTCATATACGCATAAAACGCCATAGCGTACTCTCAAAGTTTAGAGAAAAGTGAATTTTTGATATTGAAATGACCCACGTTAATATTCTGAAGTAATGGCCTTACATTTTATTAATCCATATTATTTTTTCGTAGTCGGAGTTTCGTATTTTAAAAAGCCCCAGAACGCTTCAAATGCAATCGAATTTTTTCAAATTTTCTTGGGGGAAAGAACCCCCCCTCAAATCTCGTTCGCTTCGCTCACTCGTGGCGTACACTCATAAAATACCCACGCTACGCCACTGTATATATTAGTTTTTACAAACAATTTACTTTAAAAAAGTTTTGATTCATCGGCTCTCATTCTGACCCTGTGTCATAGAATCTAATTTGGCTGGCCAAAAACATTTTCTCAGAAAATATGCCAAACTTTACCTGACTTTTTCTTGATCCAACGCGTACAATCCGTCCTTCTTCTGTCATGTTTGTGTTCTTTGAAGGTTTATAGTTGTATATTTAATGTTTTTAAAAGTTTATTAGTTCCATATGATGATTATTTTGTCGAAAATCTAGAGCAAATGTTACGTGAGGAGTAGCGGAAACACTGCCACTGACCCCTGACACGAATGACGTCATTCATAACCAGTAGTCAATTTTACTCTTTCCAAATGGCAAAAATTTCAGGTTTGATTTTATTTATTCATTTATTGATAATAATAGCACAATAGCGGTCTTTATATCAATCAATTTAATATTAAAGGTGTAGATATATAACAACTTAATTATTGAGAAGTGTACAGTCACTGATCGAAGTACAAACGTTCTCAGATGTCCTTCTTGTATTGGCCTACAAATATTGTAAACAAAACCACGTGTGCACAGAGCAAATTCTCTTCAGTGAATGGGGCTGTCACGGGGAGTAAGTCACCCCCTCTCTAATATTCTCTATATTATATATTCTAATATAGGCTACAAGCATAGGCCCCGGGAACATGTATAAAATAGCGAGTCGACATCTGTATTACTACTTCTTACTGGACTGAAGAAGTAGTAATACAGATGTCGACTCGCTATTTTATACATGTTCCCGGGGCCTATGGGCTACAGAATATAAGAGGGAGGGGTGACTTACTCCCCATGGGTGCAGTTTATCTTCTTCTAAGGCCATTGTATCATGGCCTTCGGTCAAAGATAAATTCCTGCATGTATAATGGGTCATGTCGTAATCATAAAATCTGAAATCAAATGTCCGCCATTTTTCCACATCACAATTTGAATTGCGAGTTTTGGTATTATTACCTTGACCAAAAATTCCAAAACATACATGAAGTGATCAATGTGCTATAATAGTTCACATCTTCTGAATCGCTAACTTAGAAATTACAGCCAGTTACTAATGTCAGACATTAAGGTGCTATGGAAGTTAACAGGAAATGACAAAACAGGAAGTGACAATTTTTTTGCATTTTTAGAAATTTTTTGAACAAAGATAACAGAGTTCTGTTTTGACCTCCAGTCAATTCAACTAGTTCCAAATACCATTTACAGGTCCAGGATCACAATGTTCATGGTCAGAATGACCCTAAACATGATCAAATAACCTTTTCAGCCCTATGAAAATGTGACTGAAAAATAGCTAAAAGTAGGAGGTAGGAAAGGTCGCTAAACAGAATCTTTTGAATTTTTCAGAAAATGTGCCCAATATATTGCTCTAAATGATACAATCTTTGAAAATTTGATATCATTCATAGAAAAAGAAAAAAATGAAAAAACATGATTTGAAAAGTGATCTATTTTCCTTTTTATGACCGTAATTTTTGTTTAAGACAATTTTCTAAAATTTCAAAAATTGTATCAGTTAGAGCATTATATTGGGCACATTTTCTGAAAAATTCAAAAGATTCTGTTCAGTGACCTTCCCTAGCTCCTACTTTTAGCTATTTTTCAGTCACATTTTCCTAGGGCTGAAAAGGTCATTTCATCATGTTTAGGGTCATTCTGACCATGAACATTGTGATCCTGGACCTGTAAATGGTATTTGGAACTAGTTGAATTGACTGGAGGTCAAAACAGAACTCTGTTATCTTTGTTCAAAAATGTCTAAAAATGCAAAAAAAAATTGTCACTTCCTGTTTTGTCATTTCCTGTTAACTTCCATAGCACCTTAATGACGTTTTGTCCAGTTTTCGAATATTGCCATTTTTCTTGGAGCCATTTGTTTTAATTTTAGACGTAATCATGCAATATCTCATCAAGGAGCCCAGCCAGTCACATTTTAATTAATGATTTATGTATCTGGCGAATTTTAAAATATATAGAGGGACATTAGAAATATAAGGAGCGACATTTGCGATCTTGTTGTCAGCCTCCTAGCAGTGATTTACCATACACACACGGGCGCAAAGGATACAACCATGGGGTTTCACCTGACTCAATGCTGACACCAATATAATGTCCCATGACCGTAAGATCCAAAGACTTCCTTCAGTGCTAAACCAACTGCAGCTATAAAGACTGGGCTGAAATAGCAACTTGCTATCCAGGGTTGTTATACTTATTCCATCGGCAAGATAGGATTTCTCAAGAACAACTGATATTTATAGTTGTAGTCCTCAATGTGTGATATTCACTTCCTAATTATGATTTAATCAGACATATAAAAATGTCTCTGATTTAATACGGAAAACATTCAAAACTGTACTAGGCACTGCCATTTTGGATCCTTTTGTTTGATGACACATTTGACTTGATAACCATGTGGTCTTGGAGGTGGTTATAATCCCGTATTTACCTTGACACAATGTTTATTGTTTGTTTGTTTGTATATGTATACAAATTGTATATGTATACAAATTTAAGAGATATCAAAAACAATGGTAGTTTTAGGAAATGGTACATTTGTCACTAATGTACATGTAGTTATACTAAAAAATAAACATTTTAAGGAAGACTTCTGTAATGGACTCTAAGTTGGCAGGTCTGATACAGTAAGTCTATCATCATTCTTATTTTCAGATTTATACCAAGTCCTACAGGGCCAGGAGTACTCTGTGACTGAGAAGCTTCAAATTGCCAAGTATGTTTTGACGACTCCTGACGTAAATATGCCAAATAAGGAGCAGCGATTAATTGATTGGTTGTGTGATACTCTCACTAAATCAAAGCTGAAAAAGAAAAGGTTTGATATTAATAAGATACATTTATATTGATCACATTTGTTTGGACACATGCATGTAATTTATTGATCACAGGTACAACCTATGTATATTTATTGTCCACAGGTATTATACCCAGACCCCATCCTATAATGAGTTTATGTGCAATATTATTGGCTGGATGAGGGTCTGCAGTTCAATATTTGTAGTAAAGTTCTTATTTTTAGAGATGTGAAGCCAAACTTTTAAGATATTAAGTTACATGTACCGATTGATATTTGAGTCTTAAAATTGGGCATATTTTATGTATTCTACTTTATGTATCTCATTCATTGTTTGTAGCAGCACTTTAGCACAGGAAGATATCCAATCTATATGGATATGCCTTGTATCAATGCTGCACAGTTCCCAGACCAATTCAGAAGGACATAAGGGTGTCAGGATAAAATCAGAGTTTTGTCAGGTAAGTCAAATACAGGGAGTTTCATATGTATGCACCCCCTTCTAAACTCATACATGTAGCATTGCCACCCGATCATGTTATCTATCATTTTTATTAAGAAAAGTTACTTAAGATTGCAAAGTTTCAAAATCAAGGTGTATCCCTGAAAAAAAGATACAATGCAAGTTGCGGGTACAGTGTAATTTATAAGCATTTTTGAACCCAGTCCGATGATCTGTTCACTTTGTCTGTTACACATTTTTGGTGATAAAGGTGGAACCATCGTCCCTGGCCTCCCTATAAGCCACTGCACGAATTCTGTCTATATATTTTGTGAATAACTGTCACAGGCATGTGAACTCTGCCATGGTGACAACTGCTAAAAATGTGCAATACGAAAACTAAATTTTCCTTAAAATTGCCCTCACTATGACCAGAAATTTCCTCTAAGCTACCTCGTTCTCTCATACTTTGATACATTGAATGTTTTTTCAAGGACACCCCTGGATTCTGAAACTTTGCAATTTATGTAACTTTCTATGAGGAACAGAATAATATATTACATGTAAGGGTTGCAATTGCTACAAATATGATTTTAGAGGGAGGTGCATACAAATTAAACACCCTGTACTGTACATAAACTGGCCCTCCCCTCCAAAGACTGAATGATGCATGCAATCATACAGCATACAGTGAAACCTGTAAATTGGAACACCTCTAAATATGGAACACCTCTGTTAGTGGAACACTTTTCAGAATCTTCAAGACTAACTGACTTGATGTTAAATGAGCCTTAAAGTGGAACACCTCCCAAGTTGAACACTTTTGGGGGGTACCAGAATGTTCCACTTACTTAGACAGGTTTTACTGTACATGAAATAGGCTAGATTAAAAAATATGCCAAATTAAAAATCCATCAATTTTCAGATCTGTTTTTTCATTTCATTGGGATTTTCTACTAAATGAAAATGCCATATTTTTAGTTCTACCTTGCCTTACCTCATCACATTGTATATGTTTGATAGAGAGTACAACTATATACTGTTCTGTATATTTCTGTAGGTGGTTATAGAGAGCTTTGATGTGTTCCAAGATTGCCCAAAGGTGATTGATACACTGGTGGACTTTACCGCTGCAGCCCTGTCCAACACAGTCTTAAATAACTCCTTGTTCTCCAAATATGAATCAGTGGTAGGTAAATGCTTGTAATCTTTACACATTCCAGATTTTTAGCATAATGCAGCATAATTATAACAACAGTTACCTGATCTGAGAATAGAATGGAATTTACTTTTTTTGCAAAATTTTGTTGAAAGCTAGCAGTTTCTAGGGATTGAACAAATATTGGAACAATAAAATTCAACTTACCAAATACTGTAAATTTGGATTTTTTCTCAAACCAAAAGATTCCATCGTTACTTGTTTAAAGCTATTTAGCAATTATTGTACATGTAATTGAATATCAGGGGTTGAATAGTAAAAATGTTAGATTGTTTTGCTGTAGCATTTAGTGTACATTTCCTTTCTGCTTGCATTTGTTTCAGATAACCTTGTTAAACAAGATCATGAGAATCAAAACATCTAACCAAGAAACTAGAACAAAATTAATTTTGTGCCAAGAAAAAGTTTTAGAAAAATTGAAGTCACTGCAAAAGTTTCATCATTCCTCAAAACAGGTATGTAATATCATAGTTTCTTAATAATTCTTTAACATCTATCAGAAAAAATAAGTTATTTATGACATCATACAAAATGGGCCAGAAAGATTCGGATTTAAAGAGGTTGTTTTTGATCAATCCCATTTATGTATTTCAGGTATATACTCACATTGTGGATAAACTTCTCTTGTGTCTACTAGAGCAAGAATCTCAAGAGGAAACAAGCGCATCTAAGAAACTGAAGTCTTATATTTTCCAAGGTCTCTTTAGCAAGTAGGTACAATATCACCCGGTACTAACTCACCGGGGCATATCGAAATCAAAACGCCCCGCAAAACTGTTAGTTTGAATTTTTGAATATCAATGATTGTGAGTCTCACACTACACTGGTGAGTTAGTAACGTGTGAATATAGCAAGTAGGCATCACTCTGGTTTACCAAACATTGATACCATCAAAAACTATATGGAGAGGGTTACTACGAGTATTATGCTAGCTGATACATTGCAAAATACCTTGTAAAAGTATATAACTTTTATAGACATATCATCATCTGTATTAAGCCTAAAATAGAATTCATAACAATCCATTCAAAACATCCTATTCTATATATAATTCACAATTGATAAATATTGAAGCTCTTTACTTTAATACAATTACATATTTTCAGAGATATGGCAAGCACATACACATTGTACCTTGATGTGTTTTATGCAAAGGAGTCAAAGTCACAGCTTCCCAATAACATTGTTCATCTACTTGAGAAGGTAAACAATGGACTGAATACAAATGTTGTGCGGGGCCTACATATTCTATATCAGGGGTTTCTCTCTATGAGGTAATTGCGATAATACGCTGTTGGAAATGCAATAGCTATATTACATGTATGTTTTAATATTAAATAAGTGATGCAGAAGTCGTCCAAATATTTCGATGTAACACTTTTCCAGTATACCATTTTGAAAGAAATTGTAAAATGACTTGTTAATTTTATTTTGAACTTTAATCTATAAGTAAAGATAAATAGTGAGACAACATTTTCTGAATGTATCATGCACTGCTCATTGGAACTTACATTGATCAGTATTTCGACTCCTGTTCTTAGATATATTTGTGTCTAATATTCATGTCATATCTTACAGGCTTGAAGATCCTCAGCTATCATTCAAAATGCTTCGCCGTTTGTGTAAGCTGATTCATATAGAGCCCGAGGGGTCCATTTCCATACCTGTCAAACAAGAAAAGGATATGGAAGTATCTCAGAAGGAAGGCTCCATAGAATCTTCAACATTTGAGATTGATGTGTATTCTCAAAATGCTGGGTTATTGGGAATATTACAAGAGGTCCTAAAAGGAGACTCCTTCAGTGCTGCATATGATAATACCACGGGACAAGAACAGTTGAAGTGGTATCGAAGTTTGGTGACATTATTGTTAAACCAGTCAGAGAGGTAATTTGAAAGGTTTTGAAGATTAAATTGATAATTTTTATGATCAAGAAATAAATTTGGTATCATGTTTTTTGTTGATAATCACTTGTAGTAATTATAGGATATCCTATGATTTTGAGGAATATCATTTTTATCTACGAGGTGATATTGATATCTGCACGAGAGAGCGAGCGAAGCGATCAATATCACCGAGTAGATTAAAATGATATTCTGAAAAAAATCATAGGATGGTCTTATTATCCTACACTTACAAGGAGTGTACTAAATGTATAATATCATTGCAAAATGAATTTCATGCCAAATAGAGTCAATTTGGCGGGAAATCAACAAGCGGAGTATATCGTCACAATATCCTCCGCATATTCATTTTGCCCATAAATATCAAATTTATTTTTTAATGTTATTATACATTTAGTACACTAAGTGTAGGATAATACACTGTACCTGGCTACATTGAATCATGTATTTCAATCAATATTCTTATTATTCAATACTACCCACATAGTCTATTAAGCTCATTTCTGTTGAGAATATCTCTCATTTTGATCAGAAGTTTTTTCTGTACCTAAACAATTTTTGTGTTTCAGAGATGGAACATGGTACACCTGTTTAGGTGTTCTGCTTCAGATCAACTCTAGCTTCATAGAACCTCAGATAGAGAAACTGTGGGAGCAACTCTTTACAACTGAACAGGTCAGTAAAATATTTCCTACAAAATCCATCCAAATACAATTGTACACAGGCCCATAGCCATCTTTTGCCAATGGGGATTTCGTTTTCAAAAACATTCCAGGGGGGTCTCATTTGACAACTTTACAAGCAACTAGAATGTCAAGTTTTCTGATAAACCAACATTTCCAAGAATTCCCTCTTATGATGCACTTCAATTAAATTCTTAAAATGTGTCAAACCAGTTTTCTCCATAGCTCAGTGATAGAGCAGTTGACTTGTAGTTGACTGATTATGGTCCCAGTCTCGCTCACTGAGGTTGAATTACTTCAGCCATTATCATTTATATTTTATTTTTAAAGTAGCCTAACCACAATAGAAGCTTTAATGTTTTCAGTCTGATCCAAAGGTTATCGGAGCCAGTGAAAGACTTCAGTGTGACATCATCAGCCTCTATCTGAGAATGAGACAGATTCCTCGCCTATTGACCAAGATTCTACATAACTTCAGTTCAATGACCTCTGTCTGCTGCAATGTGTTCAGCTCAACTGTACTGGACGAGTGAGTTATAGGGATTTTGGTATCCTTCCTATATGCCTCATACTGTGTATGGCTATTGACTATGATCTCAAAGGAAGAATTATCATTACTTCACTATGTAATGCAATGGAGAAAGGGACCAAATCTACTTTATCTAGCCACATTTACACACCAGGGCCTTTGACCTAAGAATTTATACCTGATTTTGTTAATGTTGAGCTTGGGTTGCCATTTTCTTAGTATTTGTCTTCTTGTTAATATATCTCAATTGTATTTTCAGATATATTTCCCTGATGTTTTACTTTAAGTCACATACTTTCTCATATTTCAGATTTGGAGCCTGTACAGAGCAGTTACCACAGGGCTCAGTTGTAGATATATGGAGCATGTTCATTTCTGACTTTACCTCAAACTATCAAACTAACTTAGGTAAGTGCATGATCGAACAACATGGAAGTCCAACAAATGAATCAACAACAATTAGATCAAACGTATTTTGTATACTCTAAATCTGTAGAAGTAGACAAAGTAGGTGGTACACACCTGCTTGAGCTTTTAGAATAGAGTATTTGGACCGAAGTTCTAACACTAACTCCAGGGTCTTAGGTTATTTGTTCAAAGATTCATATTTGAGAGTTTTAAGTGGAAGAAATCAAAATGTCTAGATTCTAGCGAATACCCTTGCCTTAGACTTAGAAATTTCACATTTGCAGCAATTAGTAGTCAAACCTGAACTTTCTAACAGAAAAGGAATTCTCGAAATAATTGTTGATTTGAATTTTCCCAGGTGCCACATCCAGACAATTGTTCTGTGTGTCGCAGCTCATCAGCACATTCCTGATGCACATCAGAGTGGCAGATTATGCTGTCACATCTGTCACACGTGACAAGGTCAATCAGCTGATGGGTCAGACTATGAGTGATGTCATAGAACCAATGCTGAAGTATGTGTCACAACAAAGGAATGTAAGTGTAATTTATTCCCAGAAGTGGTGACGTATTGGTATAGTCTCTAAATTTTTTGTGGATGGTATTTGAGGGTCAGCGTTTGTGGATTGTGGTGTTCGTAACTTTCACAACTTCCAATAACTGGTGGTGACACTTCGTCATATAAATGCCTTGTTAATCTAGTATTTTATGAGTTAATCTCAGACATGATGTCATTTTATGTCATGTTATGGTCTCCGTTTTTATGGCAGTTGGCGGTTGGCATCTGTAACAAATTCTTGCAACTTCCAATAATTTAACAAATACTGTATAGAATGACATCAATTGTTTTCAAAGTCATCTACATGTTTTCAGAAGTTCAAATATGACTTTATATTTAAGATTTGACCTTCAATGACCTTCTTAAGGTCGAAAAAGGTCAAAAGGGTATTTTTTCAACTTGCTTCAAATTAACCAATTTTTTTTCAAAATCATCTACAAGTTCTCAACATTTCAAATCTGACTATAGATTTGATCCTTAAATTACATTCTCAATGTCAAAATAGATTTGACCTTAATGACCTCCTCAAGGTCAAATAGGTCTTTTTTATCTTGCTTCAACTAGGTGGTAACATTTTGTCATGTTAATGCCTTGTTCTTACTTGATTCATGCTACCATTCTGTCAATCTCATGACCTCTGTTTTTAATAAACCAATTTTCAGTTTTCGCAAGACACAACTTCTGCATTGCTGCTCAGTTACACTTGGGTAGAGCTCCATCTTTTATTGAAGCAGTACACTAAATATGACATGACTTCTGGAGATGTTGAGCGTGTATCTGCTACTGCCCATTATGATTTGAGTGGTGTGTTTCCATGTCTCGATGTAAACATGTGGAGGAATATTTATGAAGAAGCATCAAAGTCTCAGGATAAAACATGTCTCCATATTCTGGTAACTTTGTTTTGAATGCATTGATTACTACCTGATATACACATATAGATAAGCACCCCAATCTGAAACTGCCCAAAAGTTTTTGTGATGAGATTCCTGTGAAACTTAAAAAATGCTGTTTTTATCAAAAATACCTTACTTTTTAAAATGCTCACTAAATGATTAAATGTCTTCCTGGTCATGATTTTTTCGTATATGTGTAGTGTGGAAACTAATAAAGTAATTATTCAAAAATTTTAATTTTCTATATATCTTCCAGGATATGCTGTACATGCAGAAAATGAAAGCATTGCTTCTTCATTGTGATGTAACTGAGCCAAGCATTGTGACATCACTCCAGAACTTGATTGAATATTTTGTTAGCAAAAGTTTCATTGAAACGGAGAATTCAGCCACTTGGGATAGAAATGTAAGTAAACTCCAAGTTTTCCCATAGGGTCAGTCTAACTATTAAATTCATAATTTATTTTCTTGGCCTACTCGCCTAATAGCTTAGATCAGAGAAAACTGCATCGGCTGCATCCAGACAACTTCTCCCATCTTTCTGTACTAGATGCACTTAATGATGAAACTTACTGCGTCTTTTACTCTTCAGCCAGTTTTCTAGTCGATATCTATCCTAAATTCCACAATAATCTGACTCAACTTTTTGCAGCTTTTAGTTTTTAGCATTGCAACTTTAGCAAATCTCTAGCGCAACTTGTGGGAAAAAATTGCAATTTTCTGTGGTGTCAGACATAGAAAAATAATTGCTCATAACTATGAATTAGTTATACTCCCATTGATGGTATATGGCTATGCTTTATTTAAATATACACTCTGATTTTTATTTAAAAGATATGTAACTTTGTCATTCTCTTTTCAGATGTTCAGTATTACATCAGAGACTTATCCAATATCTAAGTGGAAATTACTGTTAGACTACCTGCCCTTGGTTTGCGCATCACAAGCTTATAGCAGTGATACCATAGCAACCATTGCTGATGTTTTGATCGATAGCTTGTTGCTTGCAGATTCAGAAAAGTGAGTTCAGTATAATGTACATTACATGGGAGTGTCACTATGACAACCATCTTAGGTAGAAGTGATACCTAGGCAACAACTGCAATGTATATCTAACAGTGGTTAATGCTTAACTAATGTTTTGCTCCAGTTTTCATACAAACCATTATGCACACTTATTGTGTCACCACCAGGAGTTGTTACAAACGATATATATTAATCTTTTATTCTCTAACCTTTTTGTGGATGGCATTCGGCGGTAGGTGTTCGCGTCTGTAAGAAATGTAACGTATACGATATATTTTAATCTTGTAGTCTCCAACCTTTTTGTGTATGGCATTCGGCGTTAGGTGTTCGCGTCTGTAATAAATGTAACGTATACAATATATTTTAATCTTGTAGTCTCCAACCTTTTTGTGGATGGCATTTTCAGCGGTCGGTCTTCACATCTGTAATAAATGCAACCAATTGCTCTTTTTAATTTTTTGGAATTGTTTTGAGAAATTACGGATCCATTACCCCCCTCAATATATTCATCAGCCATTATGAATTGAATAAGCCAGTTACTCATATTGGTTTGTATTCATTCCGCAAATGTGATCGTTGCTGAATATGTATATAACATGTATAACAATGTTATCATTTTCCAGGTTGGGTGACCTCACAATGTCCTCATGCAGCAAGAGTTTTTTGTCTTCCGACCAATTCAAAGAGCTAGCTATTCTACACACAGCCATGCTCCAGGGCATCTTAGGAAGACTAGGAAATATCTTTAAAGCCAAGTCAAAGAGGTATTTAACTTGCTTATTGACAATGTAGAACATGAACATTGAAGTCTTAAATACTTGCGTTTGGAATATCAGTTTATGACACTGATATGTCTTTTATAACTATGGCAAATATGTCATATATACCATGAAACAATCCATGGTAGAATTGAGATACTGGATATTTGATTTTTATCTTTTATTTAACACATTAAGTTCTTACATTTTAGGAATATTTACTTTCGTTAAATATAGCATCTACTGGTAGACATGAGGTTAAGTTCACCTTGAATATTGGAGGCCTAATAGCTTATATTGCTAGCCATGACATTGAGTTGGGAAGTAAAAATAACTTCGAAAAAGAAAAAAAGCTTGATGACGAAGCCTATGTTGGCATATGTAAGAAATGGCAGCTGGTGACATTTTGCATGTTAATGCATTATTTTGTTCTGGTTTGTGTCTAACTACACAGTGTAATGAGCTCATGTATAAGATTACTGATTAATCATCAATTTTATGCTTTATAACTTCTTTGATATATGATTATTATTTCTTTCAGCCCAAAGAAGTTGAAGGGCTCAAACAGTGTATTGGTGAACACACTCGAACAGTTCCAGTCTATCATTGGATCACAGTAGGTCACTTTTGTCTTCATACAAGTGATATGTTTAAATCTCTCAAATGGTGAAATGAGCACCATAAAGTAAACAGTTAAACATGTATATCCAAACAACTCTCTAATCCAAGCATTTCTCATTTGTGAAAATGTTATTGGTCCCAATTTTTGTGTCTCCCATTGACTCACATATGAAGAAACCTTGAAATATGACCTGCTAATCCAAACACTTTTGGCCTGTCCCAGTGTTGTTCTGATTAGATAGGCTTTACTCTATCAATTTGTATCATTTTGTAGGTCAGTTGATGAGGAATTCATTGATGTATCAGAGGCCTTTAACCAGACCTGCCAGAATGACAAGCAGACACAAATAGAGGAATTATGCAGTACATTGAAGGTAAGGTTAGACATTATAGGATTTTCTGGAAAAGGGTGTACATTGACCAATTTGAATTATGCAGGCCAGTGCAGGTAAGTCTTACCATTGTAGAATTATCCCCAAAAGGGTGCAAAATGAACAATTGGAATTATGCAGGACATTGCAGGTGAGTCTTAACAATGTAGAATTATCTGCAAAAGGGGGCAAATTGAATTATGCAGGACATTGCAGGTGAGTCTTAACAATGTAGAATTATCTGCAAAAGGGGGCAAATTGAATTATGCAGGACATTGCAGGTGAGTCTTAACAATCTAGAATTATCTGTAAAAGGGTGCAAATTGAATTATGCAGGACATTGCAGGTGAGTCTTAACAATCTAGAATTATCTGCAAAAGGGTGCAAATTGAATTATGCAGGACATTGCAGGTGAGTCTTAACAATGTAGAATTATCTGCAAAAGGGTGCAAATTGAATTATGCAGGACATTGCATGTGAGTCTTAACATTGTAGAATTATCTGCAAAAGGGTGCAAATTGAATTATGCAGGACATTGCAGGTGAGTCTTAACAATCTAGAATTATCTGCAAAAGGGTGCAAATTGAATTATGCAGGACATTGCAGGTGAGTCTTAACATTGTAGAATTATCTGCAAAAGGGTGCAAATTGAATTATGCAGGACATTGCAGGTGAGTCTTAACAATCTAGAATTATCTGCAAAAGGGTGCAAATTGAACAAATTGAATTATGCAGGACATTAAAGTAAGTCTTAGCATTGTAAAATGATGCCTGATACTGCAAAAGGGTGCAAACAGACAAAAAGGGTGTAGCATACAGGTGCATGCTAAATGGCAAAGGATAAGGCCACCATTTTTAGTACTGAAAAGATCAGTTTTATTTTGTAGTAGTATAAACAAACCCAGTGCCATGGAACGGAACACTCGCAGAAGGTGGCTCACCTCGTTTCAAAATTGTGGCCATTTTTATTATTGCAGAAAGATCAGGTTTTCAGTTCTTTCTGGTTATGTAACTCAACAAGTTTCACATCAGTTTACTACATGTACCTTATTTTATATGTTAAAAATAATGTCTACGAGTTTTGGCAAAATGTGTGGGAAAAATTCAAAATGGCTATTGGTTGTTGAAGTATAACTTTTTAGTTTTTATGTAATCAATCCAAAAGTATTAAGTATATTAAAGGCAGAATCAGATCTAGCAGTAGACGATAAATTGTGCCATCTTTTGATCCATCAGAGAAACCACAATATATTGGCTAGATTGATGATGTCATAGGTTGTACTTTTATAAAATTAGCAAAAAGTTAATACCATTTTTGAATGGGCAGTTTGCTACCTACAACCAATGACATCATCAATCTAGCCAATAAGTTATAGTTTCTCTGATGGATCGAAAGATGGCACGATTTATCGGAAACGTCTATTACTTTGGCTACTTTGGAGCTTCATCTTGTTGAAAATTGTTTCAATTTTAGAATATTTTGGGCTCATATCATTCCTTGTCATATCTATTTTCTAAAAATATCGGCCCAAGTACACTGTATATACTTTATTTGAGAAAAACTAAAGATTTTTACAATAATGCAATCATTGTTTGTAAGAATGGTTACCAATTCTTATTATTTGGGAGAATTTAAACATTTCCGTCTATTTTTGCACTTTGAATTTTAAATATCTTCACCAATTGATAACATATCATGGATCTTTTTGGAGATACAGTGTATTATATTTGAGCTTGTAAGGAACACCATGGGCCTTCAAAGCCCATGGGAGCACATTGGAAGATCAATTGTACATATTGCTTGCAATTTTGTCAATCCCATGAGATCTGATTCTGCTTTTAATATTTGCTTGGAATTTTACATTCAACTTAATGTCCAAATGACACCCTCCTTGCAACTTGTTATAAAAAAAGGTTGCAGACATTAGGGTATTAAGTGTATATAGGTAAACAATAATGTCTTAAGAATGCACTCTCACCATGTGAGCCCAGTACTAATTTATTATTAATTAGTTGTCTTATGTTTTGTCAGGAAATAAGTTGTATACAAATTCTTGGAAATTATTATAGTTTTTCTTAATTAGTTGGCTGAATTTCAACCATAATGTTGATTGTTTGCTGAAATTAGAGTATCATTTTGTAGATGTTCTTTTGTCAGGATAATTGGTATATTTTATGACACTCACAAACATCTTTGTCCAGATAATTGGATGATACAATAGTCTTTCTTTCAGTAAATGACAGGCCACATTAAAACAATGGCATGCATCTGGACTGGAGTTCAGAAGCATTTAATTGCATTTTGATATTTCCAATAATGAAAAAATTATATGCCACTATTAGGGGTTGTCCTGAAAGAATCCTTTGATTAAGGATTTAAGCCCATGACTTTATTTATCGTGAGGGTCTTGTATGAAATTTTGAATGATCACCCAATTTTGAATGGTAACCAGAATTCAAAGGCTAACATTGAACACAAGAGTGCATAAAATCACCAACTATTCATTGAATTGTGTGCTTAAAATCTTTTTACACATAACAAAAGATTAAACTGGTAAAATAATTCTGCTTTCACCAATCTGGGTTGACCTGTGCTACTACTATTACTACTTATACAAGAAGTATTGCTATGTTTGCTATAACTTCTCTTCATAAGTATCCCTGTACATTCCTAATATTCAGATTAAGACCGCATTTTTGAACTAACCGTGGGCGAGTGCATTGCATAATACATAATTAGTATTCCCCCTAGGTATCACGAAAAAGAACAAGAGCATAAGGACTGCAAATTATATGCTCACACGTTTTCAACAAAAGCAGTTCATCCAAACGCACTTACATCGCTAATTACAATATGTCAAATTTGTCGGGTAACGGTGTATGTCAACTACGCCAGCTTGTTGCTAGTGCACCACAGGAGTTTGATTGCAATAAACCATGATCACGGTGTATAACCCAAACGCTCCTACATGCACGACGGAGCGTTTCATTACTGAAATTAAACAAAGAAACGCTCCGGAGTAGGAAAACTGACTGGCGGGAATGATGAGCCGTCTGACGATTTCCCCAATAATGGGAATAAGAGGTATGAGTTACATATTTCGAGTATACCATTCGATGGGTGTGATATTCATGTTGTACTTGGCTGGCTGTTGACGTTTGAAGCAATTAGGAAGAGCTGCACGAAGCAGTATAGTTATCAAAATTCAAAAACGTATTTGTCATTCTACCGGTCAAAACCTCTTTTGTCGAGACATGTGATTAGTTGAGCTAAGATTAGAGCACCAACGTATAGTTTAGTCAAATTCCAATGCTTCAACGCACCATACATTATCGTAATAGTGATTTGATGACCGAAAATCCAGTCTTAAAAATGATGACATTCTCATATTCAAGAAACGCTCCGATCTGGTTAACACAGTGAACTGGAAACGCTCCGGTAGTCTAGATCAGTTAGGGAATATATAGCTTGCCTTTTCTTTTCAGAAAGAGAAAGAAAAGATCTATTATACCCCTTGGCATCAATAGTAGAAAGATTAATTCACATATAAATTTTCGTTTTTTCTATAGTTTTATGATTTAGCACAAATGTAGGCATGACATCATCTAATGTAGGCTTAAATCAGCTAGTTGCACGTTTAGCACCACCAGGTTCACATGTTTCAATTTGCCTAACAAGTACAACACGTTTTTGAGAGATAGATTCGATTCGAAACTCTTCTCTAATAATCTGAAAATTATATCAAAACAAAATGGTAAGAGCGTTTCTAAAATTGTGTTCTAAATCGACGGAGCGTTTCGAGGAAAACAAGGGATTTCTCGAGAACAAAGTAATGGATTTGGACTGGGATTTTAGGAAATGAGAATATACTAGTTTGTGATCTACTACTTTAACAGAAAGATTAACGTTTTCATAGAAATACTAGTTTAATTCGTAATTTGTGGTCAAATCGTCATCTTCAGATTCGTTCGATCTACACTACGGAGCTTTGATCAAGCAAATAACAGTTTACCACCAGAAGTTGAATAAATCAGATCTTTGCTCACGGTATTGTTCATCGAATGGTACATAATATTTCACCATAACATATGATATGTAAGAGAAACGAGAGGAACAATACTTACGGTCATAGTGGAATCTTCATTAGCCGCCATTTTATTTCGCTCCGGAGCGTTTCCACGTAAATGAAACGCTCCGTCATGCATGTAGGAGCGTTTGGGTTATACACCGTGATGATGTCTTTCTAAACAATTATGTGAGTGAACAGTGCGCTCAGATGAGTTTTTTTGAACATTACCATGTAATTTCGCTACAGGCTTTTTGTTCTTTTTCTTGTTCTTGATACCTGGGATTGATTCAAAAATGCAGCACTAGTCTCCACAATTTGTTCACCTGATCGCTCAATATGTCATCTTTATAATGCTAGTACCCTGGTGACTTTTCTGGTTATTAAAGGTAGACAGTGCCAGGGAAACAAATATTGGGTTCACAGTCCGTACGCCTAAATAATGTTTTGTGGGCCCATATCTCATGTTAAAAATCTTGAAATGTGAACACATTTCAATTTGAACATTGATCATATTTGAAAAGTAAACTGAACACTTTTCATGACAATGTCTTTTGCATTATGTATAAGTTTGATGGAGAAAAGTCCTTCATTTAAGAATTCGATTCCAAATCAAATGATATCAATTCAGATCAATGAAATGCAGCTAAAAACATGGACATCATATAATTTTATATGAAGGCTCATCAAACTACTTTATTGCACTTTCCTAAAAGTAACTATGTTTTAATGGTAAATATAAATAAATGAGTTGATTATTCAAATGTCAAAATCAAAGACACCAAATAAATACATTTTTGTACATATACTTTCGTGATCCGAAGGCTTTATTTGTAGCCAAATGATAGCACATAATAAACCTTCAGTCAGCATATTAATGTCCAGGCTACTAATAATTGATAAATATAGTATAAAACATGAGAGAATATCTGGTATTGTCAGTTAGCAACAATTGCTAATAACACCATCGGAGGGTACACCTTTGGATCCAAAATGAAAAGGATTAGAGCATGGATGATTCTCTCTGTGAGCCTGGTTTACATGCTGTTCACAGCTTCAGTCACCAAATCTCAGACAAAACACAAGCGTAGCATTTTGCAGCAGGTTGTTGAAGATTCTAAAGAAACAACCTCCCGGAACGTATCAACCCATAATCATCAAGGAGATACCACAGGGTCTACTAGTTATCCTATTACAGATGATGGGGAGCATGTTAGACACAATACTACAGAAACAAGCTTGACTCCAGAGGTAACTGATCAAACTTTTTCACTTTAATGTAGTTGTTTACTAGCAATAGGTGGTCCCATGCTATAGCAATTCAAAACTCTTGAGGTATACAAGATAGAATTGGAAGTTATTTTTTCAACTAGAAATGATTCGAATCTTCAACTATAAGATTTGACTTGGGTCAATCTGAAGGCCTCAGTCTGGGGGTAATCACGTCATCGGGTCATCATCTCACCCCTACTTCATATTGATAAATAATTTTGATGAATTAATGATATCATACCCAGTATTGGTGTTTTTAACATATATTTGTTGCACTTTGGCACATAATTTCCAACATATTAGACAAAAACATGAAATTGGTGATAGACCTATGGTTTTTGTTTTCTTAGTTCTTAGATAAGTTTTAACTGTTTAACTTTTCCGTGCATCCTGTTCCCAACATGACAGATCAAAATGTTTTCTAGCTTTAAGTAAAAAATGAAGTCAGTGACATCATATTTTTGTTTGTTTGATTATGAAGCATATGTTCTGGTCATAATACAGGGTTGTCCAAAAAGATCTATACAGTTTTGGTGGGCGTAGGGGGGGTGGATGTTTGACACTGATTATTTGATTGCATACAATATAGGTTATTTGTTTCCTTATGACCAGTTTTACTCTTTCAATGTTCCTTTTCTATCTGCATTTTTAATTTTTTGCCTTACCTTATGATGTATTTTTCTCCAGGTTATTGTAAATCCGAAAGAAGTAGCGGCAACGGGTCAAGATTTTCAGATAATTGATCCTACACATACTGATACTAATACAACCCTCTTTGATCAACCTATGACAACTGATCCAAATGAAGCATTGATGGATGATCCAACATACAGCGATATTGATACAACCCTCTTTGATCAACCTATGACAACTGATCCAAATGAAGCATTGATGGATGATCCAACATACAGCGATATTGATACAACCCTCTTTGATCAAATAATGACAACTGATCCAAATAAAGCATTGACCGATCATCTAACACATACTGATACTAATACAACCCACTTTGATCAACATATGACAACTGATCCAAATAAAGCATTAATGGATGATCCATCAGATACTGATACTGATACAAGGCACTTAAAACAACCTACAGCTGGTCTTGATATAGCTTCAAGGAAAGATCCCAACTTTTTACCGAGAGAAAATTCCTGTAGTACTTATGAAAATGTAACAAGTTGTTCAATTGATGTCCCTGAGGAACGACTCAAACGATCATGTGAGGGGCGATGTGGAAAAATCTCCAAAACAGTTTATTGTCAATGTGACCCAGAGTGCCCTAAATATGGAGACTGTTGTAAGGACTATATCAAGATGTGTGATCCAAATGGGTTAAACGATCTCAGGAAAAGTAACAAAGATATCTATGAATGCTTAGGCTTATCTGGAGATAAGAGCAGATCAGTCTATGTTGTCAACAAATGCCCCTACAGTCAAAGTGATTCAGAACTGAGTGCTAAATGTCAGTCACGTGATGGGCTTCTTAATCTGGTACCAGTTAATGATATAAAAACGGGAGAGAACTTCAGGAACAAGTTCTGTGCATTATGTAATAGTGTCATTGCTTATACAGCTTGGAATGTCTCCATTAGTTGTGAATCGGACGAAATTAAACCTGAAAACTTCCTTGATGCTGATGTTGATATAGTGCTTAATTTACTCCATAATCCTGCCTGTACTATTGAATATACTCCACCTGTAGGTGCCCGACCCTGTATAGAGTTACGTTATGATTGCAAGCACTGTCAGGACACAGAAATATCACAAAAGTGTGCAATGGCTGGACAAGATCCTGTTGTATACTTCTATGGATTTCATTTCTTTGGAGTTACTTTCTACAATATGTATTGCTTGCAGTGCACTCTTCCAGATCCAATCAAACCTGGAGCAGTTGGCTGCCAGGTAGGTTATGGTGGAAGGCTTATACGTTACAAATATTTTTGTTTAACATTATTGTTAGATTTGCAACTCTCCAATGGTTACGGACTGAAAGTTGAATCAAATGGAATATTTGGGCTAGACCAACTTGAGTTTCAATGCAGTAGTAATCAGCATCAATGCAAAGTGAGAGACTGTCCAGTTTTTCATACTAACCTTGGCTCTAAATGCTCAATCCTAAACAGAATTCTTGTCCAAGTGAAGCTGGTGTATGAGATAAGGCACAATAACTCCAGAACTGATTCCGATATCCTAAGTCAACAGTTCTTGATTGATGATGTTATAAAGGATGTCATTAAAACATTCTTCAACCCTATTGGCTACATTAAAGAGGCAGATACGCAAAGGGTTTCCCAGGAATATTATTACAGCAGCCATTTTACTTTTAACATTACAGCTTCAATTGAGATCCCACTTGCTTCTTTAGAAATGAGTTTTTCAAAGCAGTTGAAGGTCAGTAATTCCCAACTGGAGAAATATTATGAAAAGGTTGATGTCAAAATGACATATGAAATTATCAACCTTGCAGATACACAAGGGAAAGGAGGAAAACTGACCACTAACAAACATGGAAATATAGAAGCTGGAGATGTCACAAAAGCTGTTGCAAGTCATCAGTTTCATGTCCAGACATATCTTTTGAACATACTTGCCATCTTTTTATATAACTGAGCAATGGTTTCATGCCAACCCTGATGAGTATAGGAGAACTTTGTTAAAAATATGACGTATATATATTAGTACCAGTATATGTACTGAATGAGAAGTTGATGGGCACAAAGTGAAATCATGATTAATTGTGACAAAATGTATTTAATGTGAAGATCTGTAAAACAGAATACATGTATATAAAATAAAGAATTTTTGAATAATAACTTTTTATGGCTTTTAGTTTAATTCTCTTGTCTGATCGTAGATGCCCTTTGATTCTTTTAATCACTGCATTTATTTTAATGTGAATGAAGAAATCCTACAAAGCTCCCAGATTCACTGAATTGACATGTTCATAATAAATTCTTCCTTTGTCCAAAACCATTCTTTTCTCCAAAACAAACTCTTCCTTTGTCCAAAAATCTTCCTTTATCAATATTAACTCTAAATTTGCAGAGAGATCATCTTCCGTTGTCCAAAACAAACTACTTTTCATTTGTCCAAAACTCTTCACTTGTTCAATGTATACTCTTCCTTTGTCCAAAACAAAAGTGGGTTTTATGTTGAACATGGACAAACTTTAGAAAGAATCCATCAAACGTTCCAATTTACAGTGGTCTATCATTTATCCATTTTCATCTGCTAGGAATTCGCTATTACTGAGAGCTGAATTTAATATTTTTGAGGTGGATTATGTTTTTTCAAAGATAAAGCTTAATAATTAAGATAGCAAAAATTTGTTGTAAAAATTCACTTTTGGAGGTACGTATAACTCAGGAAATTTACAGATATGTCCGTGTATGTAATGCCAATAGGTCTTGACATGGATTCATGCCTTGGCATATTTCATGAGTTCAAAATTAATTTTGTTTCGTACGCCTATGAGAACCAGGAAATATTTGTTTATATTGTACTTTCCAGACTCTGGAGTACCTGCCCATGGCGAGCATACCACAACAACAACGCACATGCTTTAGCTTAACAGCGTTTCTTCTTATCGGGATTGAAAGAAATTCTGGGAAATCAGAAGAGCTTATACAGATATTGTGCAGGTGACTTGACAGATTCTTTATTCATTTTTGCATTCTTCAACTATGATATCAAAATTCGAAAGTACATTGCTATCTTTCAGCTTATATCTTGTCATATAGGGTATATTTTATTAATGGTACACAATTTTTTACACCACAAGGCTACCTAGAATGCATATGCGATTGGTAGTAGTTGATATGTATTTTTGACTATGAAAGGAAAACAAACTATGGTATGCTTAAAAACAGGCTAAATTTATACTTCCACAATAAAACTGGATTTGTTGATATCCTGCTTATTCAAGTTACACTGAGATACATTTTATGTTATAAAGAATAACTAACAGGTTTATTATTGTCGCCAGGAGTAGGATTCTGCTTTAGAATTGGTTTAGCTTGATCAACAAAGTGTAATGAATATTCCAGTATAATACTGACATGCAGTAATGATGGCAGAAACCCTCAGTTTACCAACTACTTGGACAAATCTACAGCTCTATGTTGGCTTCTCAACAATACATCTAGCAAGTCAGAAAAGGTAAAGAAAAATAGACCTTTGACATATATACAAGGTACATGATCCTTCTTATTTTCATATGTATATGCTTTGAAGTGGTAGTTATATATTATATTGGCATTTTAGAATTTACCACTCTGCACTGAAATCTAAAAAGAATTGTAAAAACAAAACATGATGCAAAGACATTCTATAATGTGTGATTATTTAAGTACAGTACTATGGGGCAATAGTGTATATGTACAAGGGCCGATCAAAAAGTTTCTTACCATTGGCTCTCAATTTTATAATAAGAGGAGTTGGAAGCTCAAACTTTAATATGAGACAGGATAGTTAGTTTGCTTGAAACTCTATGAGTTTCATATAAATTGGTTTATTGGTAGTGACACAGAGTCAATTCATATTTTCAATGACAATGTAAGGTGGAGCAGCGTTATATATAAAATATCTCCTAAGTTGTGGTTCTGGAAATATACTGACATCGTTTCAAATCTCTCATACGAAGGCCTTAAACATGTGTTTTTGGATCGAGTGGACAGATACAGGAAGTGCATTGCAACTGGGGTTGAATATTTTGAATGAGAATGAATATTAACAGAAAAACTAATTAAACATGATTTAACTACAGTCTGTTGACAGATGACACTACTTACTGTTAGAAATTTCCAAAACTGCAGCTTAGCACAATTTTTTATAAAAAACGCTGTTCCACCTAATTTAATCATTGAAAATATGTATCGACTCTGTGTCACTACCAATGGACCAATTTTAAATGAAACTCAGACAGTCTAAAGCAAACTTACTACCCTGTCTTGTGTAAAAGTTTGACCATCCAACTCCTCTTATTATAAAATCTAGAATGAAACTGATTTCAAATATTAAAAAAGTAATAAAAAATATATTTGATTAAATGTTGTAGGTGTGTAAGTTGCTAGAAAGCCTGGTGTTGGTGTTGCTGAACGCCTCTGTGAAGACCACCACTGGGTTGGAGGGTCTAAGTGCCTTCATAAACAATGTAAGAAGGTTGACCTGTTCAAGGTGTCTTTTCTAGCAAGGGGAGAATATTTGGGAAATAAGTGAAAAAAATAAGTGTGGCTAATGTAAATAATAGCTCTAATTCAGAAGATCCTTAATCTAAACCATTTGTATCCTCTGTACTACTGGCTCTTTTTGTTTATTAAATTTTCTATATATTATACTCAAATATAGTTTGGAGAGTGATTTTACAAAATTTGCCAATATTCCAGAATCTGAGAAACAGGCCCGCAGGATTTGTCAATGGGGGGTTCACTTTTGACAATTTTGGTCCAAAAATGGTCAAAATCACTTAAAATGTGCTCAGAATGATGAAAACTGCATGATTTTGAAAGAAGTTTTGGTCAGGGGGGGTTTGCTAGAACCCAATGAACCCCCTGGCTATGGGCCTGGAAATGTAGTAAATCAAAGACAAATACCTATGTGTTGCTCCAGAAATACAGGAACACATCCTAGAGTGTGCTAATCATGTGTCATTTTTGATTTTAAAGCTATTAGATAAGCTGGCGATGTGGGAAACTGGATCATGTAACGTATGGACAGCCAGGGTGATGCTTTTCACCCTTAAGACACTTTCTAAGGTAATTCACCTGTTAATATTTATATTACCATTTTCAATGCAATGGTCCATTTTCCTCCCACTTTGTCATCATATGCAGATGGACTGCATGTGTCTGTCTGACTGGCTAGGTGGGCACCAAATAAATCTAGTTAAACCAAGAAAACTTACTTGTTTGACTAATAATTTCTTTACATGCAAAGCTAAGGCAGACTAGTGCCTAGATCTCATTAGGTTTTAAATATGTTTGGTAAATACTGTATAAGTGGTAATTTTGCCTAATCATTTAATTTGTCTATTTCCTAATTTTTGCCAGGTTCGGAAAATTAAATGTCGGAAATATTGTCTTTATAATGTTATCCAATGGGAGGTTTCTTGTAATTAGGAAAATTAAAATTAGGAAAATGATGAAATTTGACCATTCGGAAAATTAACCACTCGGATTAAATACCACTTATACAGTAACTTGGTGGCAATTTTGAATTTTTGGACAAAAATGTGTGTTAATTAATATTTATCACTTTGTGTCAAATTGATGGAAAATTTACCAACTTCATTAACACTCTTTTAATTAGAGATCATACTTTGGTAATTCCTCGGCTGCACCCGGGGTTTATATTATAATATATTGATTTATTTACCCAAGGTGTCTAAATGGAGCAACATGAAGGAAGAAGTGACTAAACCATGCAAGCTCTACTTTCTCACACTATCGAAACAATTTATCAAAGTTATAGACCAAACGTTAAAGGATGACGTAGATTCTGCTGCATTGCCTTATTTGGTATCTGGTTACATCACTCTGATAGGTTGTCACAAGATGTTGGCTGATATACCTTGGAAGTCACATTTAGATGCGATTGTTCAGTTGTCGTTAAAGACATTTGACAACAAAGATAAGGTAAATCCTTTTTGACATTGTATTGTTATATAATAATAATATATAATATAATATGTGCATGGTAGATTTGAATTGAATCAACTTCAGAGTATCATAGCAAGGGCACTAGAATACAATACTTTTTGATACACCTACATGTATTATGCATGTAGTATTAGGCTACATGGAACAGGTGATAAGTAAGAAAATTAATTAGAATTTGCTCAACGTAAACATGAACCCCGTAAGTATTGTTGTATAGTCTTTGTGGATGGTGTTCAGCAATTGGTGTTTGGCAGCCGGTGGTTGGCATTCAGCATCTGTAACAAATGGCAGGTGGTTACATTTTGCATGTTAATGCCTTGTTATTCTAAAATATTAAACTTTTTCAAAGCGCTATATTGTTGTTTTGTGCTCCTGGACTTGTAAGGTGGGCGGATGGGGCACCACATGAAATTTTGTCTCCAAAATTCCAGGAAAACCACTACCACTAACCTGTTCAACTTGAAATTTTAACAATAACAGACCAGTGCTTAGACTGATTAGGTTTTATGCATGCCGTGTAAATTACTTGACGTGTGATATTCATCACTATGTGTCTTGTTAACATCCTATCAAACCTTACCACAGAACTTTATTGTCCAATTCTTTCCAGGGTGTATTCAAAATGGAAGTGTCACTAAACCTGATGAACATCCTTTGTACACATTATGTTGAGCTGGAAGATTTCCTGCCAGATGACTTCCTCAATACAGTTTGGAATAGGTTTGTTTAAAATAGATTTTGAGATATTTTTCTGATTGTACAGTTTATACGTATTCCATATTCTGTAATACGTATTCCTTATTATATGTACACCATTCTTAATAGCTATTTTCAAAGTGATGACTTTTCAGAAATGTATGAGTGCATTATGACATGTATGAGAGTGGAGAATCAATACAGTGACTTGAATTATAATAATGATTCTCAGCATCTTTTCTGTACCCTAAATAGCTCCTCTCTACTGTTTGTGTTGTAAGAAAAATCACCCGTACTCTTCTGTAACTCTTCTGTACTCTTTACAACTGTATTGTACTTTATATAGCTATTCTGGACTATGTGTATTATATAGTTTTTCTGTACTGTATTTAGACTGGAGGGCTATTTACAACGAGTCAACAAAAAAACTGGGACCCAGGACAACATAAATAGCCCTGCAACAGGGACCCAAGACCCCCAAGTAGATACCAAGGAAGACATTGTTAAAACCAATGGAGATTTGGCTGGTACTAAGGAAGAAGAGGATGTTATCGAGGGAGATATGGCAAAACTTGAAAGCAAAGTGATCTGGACATTGGGGAAGACACTGAAGGCATCCCCACTGAGCATATACCAAGACAGACTCAATAAACTTGTGAAAAATATGGTAAGACTTTTTATTGTTACAGTGACCTCCTTAAGGAGTAGTATGTCCTCATATTTTCGTATTGTTTTTGTACCCCATTACATTAATTTCACTTATTTGCTCATACATTTTGGGTTTAACATTTTTCAAAATAAGATTAAAAATATTTGGGAATAGGTTTCCTTAAATACTGAGCAGAAATGTTGAAGGAAGTGTGGTATGTAATTTTATGTTATTGGATAGAATTGTTTAATTTAAAGAAATGTGCAGTGTATATACAAGTTTATGCTTTCTAAAATGATGGTAGAGTTTGCATGCAAGAGTTGTTTAATATTTTCAGGATAGCAGCCATATTGGTACAGATGCTGTTGATGTAGCAACACAATTAAAAGTCTGGCTCCATCTTCTCAAAACACATTCTGAACTGAAGGATGAAAAACTGAAATACTTTAACTATGTCAATCAAAATGTAAGAATGTATCATTTTTAACAAGTCCATGAATGTTATTCAATCTACAGTAAAACCTGTCTTAGTGAACACCTCTCTCTAGTGGACAACTTTCCTCTACACATACTCTACTGGTTCCTGTATAAATTACTCTCTCTGTAGTGAACATCTACCAGCACTGAATGTTTTTTTCTTGGCAAAAATATGTTCAATATGCACAGGTTTTACTGCATATAAAATAATTATTTGGATCATTGTAAAACACCTGCTAGTATAAATGTTTCCAAAATATTAAATTAACAACCATATCATGTTTTCTTTCACTTTCAGGCTACCCAGTTCTTTCAAAGTATGCTTGTAGAAGCTACTAGAGTTGGAAGACACTTGACTCGAACCATTGTTCTACCTATACTGGAGGCCCAATCTATGGCAATTAGCATGGTAAGTTGAGTCAATTTATTGCAAATAGGATAGTAAGTTGAGTCTGACTCTGGCAATTAGCATTGTTAGTTGGGTCAATCAATGGCAGTTAGCATCTTAAATTGGATCAATTTATGGTTGTTAGCATGGTAAGTTGAGTAAATCCATGGCAGTAAGCATGGTAAGTTGAGTAAATCCATGTCAATTAGCATGGTAAGTTGAGTAAATCCATGTCAGTTAGCATGGTAAGTTGAGTAAATCCATGGCAGTTAACATGGTAAGTTGAGTCACTCTATTGCAAATAACATATAGTAAGTTGAGTCTAACACTGGCAATGCATTAGCATGTTGTTAAGTACTAAGTTGAATGAATTTGTGGCAATCTAAGCATGGCACACTGTTTTAATTCTTGAACAATTGTATATGGCATGTAATGATTTGTTTTCAGGAGATCCTACCAGTGTCCCATGTAGCAATGTGCCTTACTAGCTGCACTAATGCACCATTAGATATCACAATAAGAGAATCCAGCAAAGATGGCAACAGCACGGAAACTGATGACATCATCAATTTCAGAGATGTATTTAGTGCCACCTATAAAGTGTTGAATGAAATGTTGGTACATTACAGAGATAATGTCTTCAACTTCATACCTCCTTTTATAGCAGCTTCCAAACGTATCCTTAACCAAAAAAAAGTAACAAAATAATTATAAACATAACTCAACATACTTTTAAACCAGTACAATTGTCTAGAAAAAGCTAAAGTAACTGGGATTGAACCCAGGACCTCTTGCTTTCAATACCACTCCACCATTTAACCAATTATTTGGCTGCCTTAACATATATCAGGTCTGATGAACAGTGCAATAGTTGCAGGTGACCAAGCCAACCATTATAACTCCGAGCAAGTTGCAGCTGTGGTGGCCTGTGGACATCTTACTGAGAGGTATACAATCTAGATAAACTTGATATTATAGGAATATCCTATGGTTTTGAAAAAATATCATTTATATCCATGAGTGGATATTGATATCTTCATGAGTGAGCGCAGCGAATGAGTGAAGATATTTGTATCCATGGGTGGATATAATTGATATTTTTGAAAAACCATAGGATTGTCCGTTTATCCCATGGGAAATCATCATCAGCGAAAAAAGTTGAAAAATATAATTTGAGAAAAAAGTTGAAAAAATAATTGAAAAAAATTGTGAAAAAATGTTGAAAAAGTTTTTTGAAATTTTGAAATTTATTAAAAATATTTTTAAAAATAATTAAAAAATGTAAAAAGATTTTTTTTGAAAAAAATCGAAACCATCGAATATCACTTTTCAAACCATCGAATATCACTTTTCAAACCATCGAATATCACTTTTCAAACCATCGAATATCACTTTTCAAACCATCGAATATCACTTTTTAAGACGTGATATTCGATATTTTAAAAGTGATATTCGATGGTTTGTGATTTTTTTGCTAAAATATGATATCTTGATCAACATATCAAATATATCTTCATGTGATATTTGATCTTTATCCTTGCAACCATGGGATAAAATATGATGTGTGGTTACTGATATGCTTCATACATTAAGTGGAGATTTCATATTTTTGTGTTCTTTTTGTCATATGCCAAGATTTATGAAAATTCTTCAGTTTTCAGTTTGTTATTAATTTTTTTATCATTCGAATGATTAGGCCAATGTAAGTATTTTTACGTGTACTTTGAAAAAGTTGGTGTGCATCAAATATGGTCTCCAGACCCCTATCTACTCCATCTCCAGCGTGTGTAGTGGTGCCATGTGTTAAAGAGTTTCTATGATTAAATAAACAAACAAATAAAAAATATAAAAGATTAGAAAATAAAAAAGAGTAGTGTGGATAGACTCAATGCAAGACATCAATTTGACCCTGCATACCATGGATAATATGATGGATGTATTTCAGACTGTATGCTCTTATGGCAAGCTACAAGGTAGAGTTCAGTAAGGTAGCAGTGTATATTGTAGCAGACTATGTCACACAGGTGCAGAAGGTCACTCTGGTACCAATAGTAAAGGTGAGTTTGAAATTTTACTTCCTTATTCAATACTAAAGATGTTTGTCGCTTCAGACAAACTCATGCAAAAATTTTGTTTTTATATTTGAATGAATGACAGTTTTTTGTCACCATTATAAGTGCTGACATATTGTAATTATAATTATATAGTCTTCAACTTTTCTGTGGGTGGTGTTTGGCTGTCGGCATCTGTAACAAATGGCAGGTGTTTGCATGTTAATGCCTCATTAAAATTGCAATTTTTCATGTTTTATAATTTCAGAAATCCCTGGTGCCAGCAGTGAACCACATTCTAAGTATTTGTGATGAACACGCTATAGCTCAGTTGCATACTGTGCTCAACCCTGGGGTTAGAGAGGTCTTCAGAACTTTATATGATGATTACCTAAAGTATTTCAAGTATACTGGAAAAATATAGAAATTCTCAGGCCCATTCGGAATTTACCCTTTATAGGGGTGTGGACTTTTGCTACAATAGAGAGAAGCAAATCACTCTGATATGCTACTGCTGAAATATGGATTACATGGAGAAGTACAATGTATATACATAAATAAATATAGAAAATAAGTTCTGTATGTTTGGTGCACAATTCCACCCTGTTTGTACTATTTATTTGAATATTGAAAGAAATATTATGAAAGGAAACTAACAAAAGAAAATATAATTTACAGATTTTCTAGAATGAAAAACTAGGAAGTCATTGCAATATTATTGAAGTGAACCTATATGTACTTACTTTCTGTATACCATATCAACCATACTAATGGAGCTTAATAAGTGTCATGGAACAAAAAAGGTCAAGTAAACAGGCCTGTAAGGGGTCGTAGCCAGCTTTTACCAAGTGGGTTTACCAAGCGGGGGGGTTACAGTATTGACCCGTGGACTATGTTAAGTAGACATGTGGAATTGATCGCTGTCGGGGTTGTGTTTTAAAATTCTGGATATGGAATCAAGAAAAGCATTTGTCATGTGAATAACCAGTACATGTATATTACATGTAGCTTTGCTGTATAACCTTATTTTCACATAACACATGTTGAATATTGAAGGTACCTGTACATGGCATGTAATATTATTATCGTATGGTAGGTATCTTACCTTATCGTAGGTAATTGGCACTAGTGCAGAAAACAATAGGTGAAGATGTATTGATATAATAGCTGACATTTGCTGGGTTTTGTTACAAACATGGGGTTCTAATTCCTTTATTTTTACCAATGTATCATTCCCTATGGTGCCTGCTATAAACGTTTGCTATATTCCTAGACTTCATCCCGCATTTATATTAGCTCACCATATAATAGAAATAGACTAATCTTTGAATCCCGAATAAATGATATTTATAATATAAGTTGCAGTCGAATGTCTATTGAAAGATGTCAGCACTACTTAAATCAATTTAGTGCTGCCATCTTGCAGTCACTTGATTTCGTTCAGTGTAATCCGCCATATTGGTTATAAATGAGTGACCTCCGGAAATCAGTGTATCGTTTTCTGTAAAATTCGTGTCATCGAGGCAGTGTGTGTACTTAGAATCATGGCCGTGGTATCACTGGATAGATTTAGAAAGCAGGTTTGTATATTTTTACGTGTAATTTGTGAAAGTACAGCTGGGATAATATTCGAGGTGATCACATTTAATTTTTAATTTTGGGAGCCTCGCCCACAGGTTTGAGTTAAAATCCCGGGGATGAATTAGTGATCGTTCAAAGCTAAGGAGTCATCGATAGATCTAGTAAACTATAATTGTGTACTATAAATAAGGATGATTTGTGCATTTATCACAATATTATCGTAAATATTAGCCTAGTTCTAGTTGAGAATTGTGTGACAGAGTTGATTTACCATGGCCACTATGGCTAGAGACTGAGTAAGAGTTGATGATTGTGATAAGACTGTGATTGTGTTTATAGACTTGGTGATTGTGTTTCAGACTCGATGATTGTGTATTATAGTCGATGATTGTTTGTCAGAGTTGATGGTTGTATTCCAAAGTTGATGATTGTGTTTCAGACTTGATGACTGTTTGATTGTGTTTATAGACTTGGTGATTGTGTTTCAGACGCTATGGCTGTGTAATATAGTTGATGATTGTTTGTCAGAGTTGATGGTTGTATTTCAGAGTTGGTGATTGTGTTTCAGACTTGAAAATTGAATTATGTTTCAAATTCAATGATCATTTATTAGAGTTGATGATTGTATGTCAGAGTTGATGGTTGTGTTCCAGACATGATGAATTGTGTATTTGAGTTGATAAATGCATACAAGAGTTGACAAGTGTGTATTTGACCTAATAATTGTGTATCAGAATAGAAGATTGTGTGTCAGAGGTGATGCTTTGTGTTAAGTTGATGATTGTACATCAGGTTGATAATTTATTGTACATGCAGACATGTACATCAGGATTGACAATTGTTCAACAAAGTTAATGATTTCATATCATCAGACTCTCTGGCGGATCTAGAAGCTAACAAGGGGTGGGCCCACATTTCAAATCAGAAAAAAATTCCGAGCTTGCGGGGAAAGAAATTTTGGCCCTCTATATCCAAAAGCTCAAATTTTGAAAATTTATGGCTGATTTTTTTTAATAATTTGGCCTAAAAAGACCCAAAAAGGCCAGGTAATACCCAAAAAGGCCCACTAATTGAGGCCCACTAATTTTTTGGACCCAACATTTTTTTTGGGCCCACTTAAGGTGATAATGATTGTGTAAGTTGATGAATTTGTATCGACATGATATTGTCTATTGATGATTATAACGTCTATGAGTGATTGTGCATCCAAACTAATAATATTCTTTTGTTCTGTTTTAGCTACTTGAGACGTGCCTAAGCTACCAGATGCTTCCTTCTTCTGAAAAGAGATATGCATTTGGACTTTTGATAAATGTTGCAAATTATTTGGAGGGCCTGTTGACCATTGAAGACCCCATAGACACATCAGGTATTGCAACAGAGAATATTGAACATACTGCCGATTCTTTGAATGAATTTGCATTTACTGTTGGGAGATTCCTTGAATTAACAACACATGCAGTGGAAGAGATATATAAATCTGTCAATTCTGAAAATTGGTGTATGCCTCAGGAAAAATTACCACCAGAGAAACTAAGTCTGATTAAGACTGAATCTGAAGTTAGAGAGGATGACTCTGAAATAATAAATGATGAGGGCACCAAGCTAAATGTAGCCTCGGTACTCCATGAATCAAGTAGAGTTGATACTAAGACAGCAAACTCAGTATTATGTGATAACAAACTACATGAGTCTGCTCTGACCTCAACAAGGAGAAAACGAGGTCGTCCAAGAAAATCAGAACAATTCATAAAATCGTCTAATTCTTATGATGATACACCAGTTGAGAAAAAAGTTAAACCTGGAGAGACTAATCCAGTGCATGACTATGATGATGCAATTGAAATGGCAGAGGAGGCAGATGGACTTGGTACTACAGATGATAATGATGATGTGGACTATGAACCGAATGAAGATATCGAAGAACTTAATCTATCTGAAGATGAGACTGATGCCACAAATGATCCAGATGATGTTAAATCAGTTGAAAATTCCAACAGCAATGTACCTCCTTCAAGTCAATTAGGTGAGGTATCTTTTCAAAATTAAACATTCATGAATCTTGTGTCCAAGTTTATTTGCACGTTTCAAATGTTTCATTCTAGCATGATTTAATTGAATATCTTATTCATCATGAATTCAAATTTAAATTTCAGTTGATCAGATGCAAAAATCTGTTGGGATTTACAAGCGAACCTCATCTAAGAAGAAAAGACTTGGACCACATATGTGTAAACATTGCGGGGAATCATTCAAACATGGCCGACCATTCAACCGCCATCTGATAGCAGACCATGGTATGTGTGAAATGTCCTGCCGTAAATGCAGAGTCACATTCCACAATAGGGCTGAATTTGACCACCATAAGTGTAAAAGAGCAAGGACACAAATATGTACTAAATGTAAAAAGGAACTCCCAAACAGGAAAAGACTGGCTCTACACATGCAGCTGAAACACGGTATTAAACTACAAATCAAAATCCACAAATGTGAATTTTGCGATCGATCCTATCAAGGTAAAGAGAGTTTGTACATCCATTTAAGAACACATGCAGCTGATAAACAAGTCTGCCTCAGATGTGGCCACTTTTGCGACACTGCAGAACAATTAGACGAACATTTTGAGACAGTTCATCGAAAAGACTGCAAATTCCATTGCAAAACGTGTGACAAATATTTCAACTTTGAGCAACAGTACAACCAGCACATGAAGTGTCACGAGAGACACAAATGTCTTGTTTGCAATATGACATTCCCACGAAGTAAACTGCTCTGCCGTCACAGTAGGATCAGTCATGGGGTGAAGGTATGGTACTTTTCTATTGGATGGAGTCAGTCTTTTGCTTCTCATGTGGTCCTCATCTCTTGCATCCCATATTATTATAGTCTCCAACTTTTTTGTGGATGGTATTTGGCGGTCAGAATTTAGCGTCTGTAGCAAATGGCAGGTGGTGACATTTTGCATGTTAATGCCTTGTTTTATTAATACGCTGAGCTCCCCTCGTATCGTGGCCACCATATTTCTTTATTAGTGCTATGTCATAGTTTTCCTTTGATTAAATTATATTGATGATGAAGATGTTGATAGGAATGATAGCAATCTTTTTTAAAATGATGGCAATATTTCCCTTATTGCAATCATATTTCTTTTATCTGACAAAAGAGATGAGATATCTGAATTCAAATATCTGAATATTGAAGAATTATTGAAATATTCATGCACAAATGTCTCAATTTATATGAATTAAAAAATATAAGATCTACTTTTCAAGATTATTGCCATATACTAGTAACCTATAATGTATTAATTTCTAGTTACCAGAAGATGGCAAGAGTAAGGAGCATACATGTGAAGAATGTGGTAAAATGTTTCGCAGGCCTGGTCTACTATCCATCCATATGAGAATCCATACAGGTAGGCCACCCAGTTTGTTGTTGCCATGGCAACCATAACTTCAACCAATCAGATTGTGCAAAACTACATATATTAATTGAATGAATGTCTTAAATGTATATATTTTTGGTATGCATTTCATCCACATGTTATGAAGTCAGATACTTGTACAGTATGATTATTCGATTTTCAGGAGAAAAGCCCATAGAATGTGGAACATGTCATCTGTTTTTTCGCACAATGAAGGCATTGCGCAAGCATGAACAAACAAACACTCATGCAATCCGGACAGGAGATATTAAGAAGGAATTTAAAAGGGATCATCTCTGTCAGTTGTGTGGCAACTCTTATTTAAGGTATGGCACAATGTGGAGCAAACCATAGGGGGCTTGGTCAAAATTAAATATTTTTCCGTGAAATCATGTTAATGAAGGATTAGACGCCCTCCCTATCTTCATTGAAATGATTAAGGTATATAATCCATATGATTATGCAGTATATTCTACATGTTAATTTTCCTAACTGCTACACCACTCCCACTTTTTAGAATTGTGAATTTCCTCCAAAATGTTAATGTTGTGTTAACTCTCCTTAAAATAATTGATGAATCTCTTGGAGCTTGGCTTTTTGATGTATTTTAGTTAATTTTCTGAAACCATTTTAAACTGTCAAACCATTCCTTTCAGGCGTATCATATTATTCATAGAGTCTACCTTGGTTAATCTTTTCTATTCTGGAAACATTTTACAGGTTGAATATTAACTTTTGTACAAAATATTTCCAGGAAACAAGCCCTTGTAAGGCACATGAAAGCAATCCACACAGATAAGAAGCCTCATCAATGCCCTCATTGTACATACTCTGCTGTTGAGGCCACTGCACTACGTCTACACATGGCACGACATTTCGCCTCCAGGGAATGGGTGTGTGAGACATGCGGTGCCGGGTTTCATACCAAGAAAAGCCTTCAGACGCACCATCTTTACAAACACCAAGAAGAGCGCACTCATGTCTGTACTATTTGTAACGCTGATTTCAAGACTCCCAATGCGTTACGTCGTCACATGCGGATACATTCAACTGTTAATCCATTTACTTGTAATTGTGGCCAGGGGTTTAAACGATTATACAACCTTCGACGGCATATGAAAAATGTTCACGGTTCTGACGAAATGCTTCCACCAGTGAAAAAAGTTCAGGTTATTGATGTCCCCGAAGATTGTAAAATGACTCCACATGGGATTGTCGCCAAAACCAAAGAAAAGGAAAAAGCATCTGTTCTAAAATCCCCCAGAAAATCAAAATCAAAAGTGCGTTGCATGCAATTCAAAACTGCATACAATATGGAGGCTCATTTTCCAGAGCAATGTGGACCTGAAGACCTGAGCTCAAAATTTTCAAATAATCAGACTTTACTTTCAAAATCAAATACTGTACAATTCCATCATGGAACACCATTTACCCAGGCTACTGGTCATAATGAACAGGCCACATCCTATGTGTTTCCAGTGTTAAATACCTCTGAACAAGCATTGAACAATCCTGTGACGGAAGGTGCAACAACAGCACCAGAGGTTTATGCTAGTGTCACAAGTTTAATGCATTTAATGGTCCAGAACCAACCTCAGTAATAGTACCAAGTCTTAAGACCCCCCACCCCCTATGTATTTCACCTCCAAAGGTAAGGTATGTAATGGTTTCCACAAAGGTGTGAAAACAAAACTACAGCTATGAATGAACGTTGCTTTTTATGAATATCTGATTCATTTGAATGTATTACAAATGCAATGTCAGTTCACTTCAGATTTATACTCTCATAACTGATATAGTAATGCATTGTGCAATTTTATAGACATTTTATTATGCAATGTAGAGGTCAAGGTCACGCACAGTATCTGCATGACCTTAAGGTCACATGTGTAGCCAATTTATTTCTCATTTATACTCTCATAACTTTGATATACTATGTGTTGTGCAGTTTTGTAGACATTTACCACATGAAGGATATTCACATTCTGAATTGAATATTTTACCCGATGCATTCACTAAAAACAATTATTTTGACTACAAAAGTGGTACATGACTGAATTGAGAATCAATGAAATAAATAAACCTCATTTTAATACAGTATGAGGATAATGAAATGTTCCTTACAAGTTTTAATCTTATTGAATGCTCTTATCACGCGGTACTAACTCACCGGGGCGTATTGAAACCAAAACGCCCCACAAAACCGTTAATTTGAATTTCAAACCTACCCTTTCTTTTGAAATTCAATGATTGTGAGTCTCACAGTACACCGTTTTTCTTTCGTTTCGATACGCCACGGTGAGTTAGTACCTCCATGGGCTCTACGATAGAGCCCATGGTACCTCGTGCTTATGTGGAAGAGGAATTTCACACATTTACAGTAATGCGCCTGAGAAATCCAAAATATTTGAATTAGTTTCACCATGGGCTTTCAACTAGACTAGTTGAAAGCCCATGGTTTCACTAATGTCATTATCTAATTGACTGTTATTCATCAATTCTTGAAAGAGAATTTATCTTGAAACAAAAAACTTGAAAAACTAGTCTCATACTATGATATCCGCATATCCGCAATACTGTGTTGCAGAGAAATATAAAGATAGATGGCTGTCCGACAAATATTTGAAAAAATAAGGGAAGTGTGTTATCGAGTACCACGGCATTATAGTCCTAGTAGTATGTGTACCTGACCCAGGCAGAGGAAGATTAAAAATAGATGGTTAACAGACAAAATACTTTAACAATTAGGTAATGAGAATCTAAATGACATAGGCTAATAAAGATTGAAACGGTTAGATAACTGACATAACAAAGTGGAAAAATTAAGGTAGTAAAAACTTACATGTAAACGATATCTTTAATTTGTTGCTCATATAAATAAATCTTCAGAGTACAAAATCATATTCATTTCTGTGATTAAATTCGTAATTCTAAAGGTCAGACAGTAGCCTATAGCAAACTAATTCTCCCTTTCGCGATTCGCTCTTTGAATCAGAACGTTCGCAAATATGTACTGAAAAAGCACTCAAAAAGGACAAAATTTGATTGGTTAATATTTTTTCACTATGCATTTCGCGTAGCTATTTGCGTGACCCGAAAGTTCTAAATCAAACTAATTACGCAATTTTGTTTTTACACCCGCACGCTAAATAAAACAATGACAACATCGGAAGTATTCTTCTTTGTCATTGCTTTAATAGTCTGTATACCGAGCTTAATCAATAAAAGATTGTACAATGAACAACAAAATTCGGAAACGAGTACTATAGATTTGCTTCCGGACCACTGAACAGAGTGACCTAGATAATAGCGACGCTTCTTCTTTGGTCTACTGCTCAGTTAATTGTTGGTTTTCAACGTTACACTATGATGTAATTTGATGATGAATACTTTTATTCCGTTGTTGCATCGATGATGCAGTTTGTAGTGCGGTAAGATTGGCATGCAAGTATTGATAGTCGAATGGAATTGTTTTTTTCCAAAATGGCGACTAGTCAACTGATCATATGACCTTCTCTTCCGGAATATTTTCTCACTTTTCAATCATCGTTTTCACCACGCTATGAATCAATACAATGAAAAAAATAGCTGTTATATTAAGATTAATAAAAGATCAATCGATTCTATTAATTTTTTCTGTACCCTCGTACGGGAATATGAACGAATATATCGTTTGAAAAATAGGTGTTAAAATCCCCATGTTAAACCTATGAGGGAAAACAAGGAAGTATAAATTTGTTCCTCCGCGAACTGCATCATGGGAAACATTTTGACCTTATAAGGAAAGATTTTCGCGTCTCCTCTTTTGAAGAGGGAACAGCGATTTCGAGAATTAAAGTAAATATGTATTCTTAGTTTTCTCTGTATGTGTAGTCTTTCTTCAAGACCCTGGACTATCAACTCTAAAACTGGTAAGGGCTTATACTGTTATAGCTTACAATTATGACATATAAATTCTTGGCAACTAACTTAAGAGAAAAATTATTTGTTGCCACTTCAATATATGAATTTATGTATGAAAATGTGTTTTTGACCTTTACCTTTTTTGAATCCAATCTTTTTATACAGTTTTTCTGTTGGTAGCTATAAGGCACTTGAAAACAAAGTTATCTCCAGTGGTACGTATGCTTCTCTATCAGTTTTTACATAAGTATTAGGGCAAGTCCATTACGTCTATAGCGTCTATCACTTACCATTATGTTCTCCCTTCGTGTTTGGATCACGATCAGCGAGTCCTGCTGTCCCGATGATACTTTTATTGTGCATTGTGATATCACCCATAGCAACAGAGGTCGAGGTCACACATGATTGGGTTCATGCAGTGCAGGGGTCAATGTCAAATAATGAGTCAATGCAATACTGAGGTCAGATACATACTGAATTCAGGTGAAAATATGTTAAGATCTCACTATCAAGGTCAGGCCAAAACTTCTTTCAAAATCATGCAGTTTTTCACCATTCTGACTATTTTTTGAGTGATTTTTGGCCAAATTTGCCAAAGTGAACCCCCCCCCCCCCCTAGAATTTTTTGGAAAAGTGCCCCCCCCCCTCTTGGAAAATTCTGGCTACGGGCCCAAATGTCACACTAGGTCCATGCAGTTTAGATGTCAATATGACACTGAGCTCTGTACTGCGCAGAGGTCAAGAGGGAAAAAGTATCACAGACTTTGTAATCAAAATTGTAAACATATTATGCAACCCTGGACCATGGCCCAATATGTGAGTCAACACTATTATATTGTACATACCTGAAACCTGTTACTGTAAATAGGTTATAATTGTAAACTTATGAAAATGTACTCTCTAGCCTAGGCCTATAGATAAAGAAGTAGAGTAAATGCAATGCAATAACAAAAAAAATTGAATACAATACAATAAAATACAATCATGTTTTAACATATTTTTATCTGTTGTTAACGATAAAAAGCATCTGATTTTTTGACTGGGTATTATAGTTATGACTGCTCTCGGGCGATTACACTCGGGAAATTATTTGTCTTGGACGTTTCCGTCATTGGTTGCAGCACTTGTTTACAGGCTAGAACCGTATAATTTTGTGCATCACGTAATTGGAATATTGTCATTTGTACATAATACTTTATTTACTTACAGGGTGTTCCAAGTGAAATGTGATCTATGATTTTATAACTGAATGCAAGAAATATTGTATTTGAATAGGATTGTTATAATCAAAATAAAAAACATTGTTACAGTCTAAATAAGTTTAGTTTGATAGCCCTCTTAATTATCCCACCGAACGAAGTTCGAGGGGGATATAGAAAAGCCGTCCGTCCGTCCGTTCGTCCGTCCGTCCGTTCGTGTGTCCGGGCAATAACTCAAATACCGGTTGACGGATTTCATTCAAATTTTATAGGCTTATGCCTTATGGGTGTAGGACCTCTGCTCGAGAAGGAATTTTCAATATGGCCGCTTAATTCAAAATGGCGGCCATTTTTCGGAAAAAATATAATCTTTAATAACTCAAATACTAGTAGATGGATTTGGTTCACATTTTATATGCTGTTGCCTGGGTACAAAGGAGCCTTGCTAAAGAAGACATTTTCAAGATGGCCGCCAAATTTCAAAATGGCGGCCATTTTTCGTAAAAAAACGTTATCTTTGATAACTCAAATACCATTTAATGGATTTGGTTCAAATTTTAGATGCTGATGCTTAGGGACAAAGGAGCTCTGCTCGAGAAAGGATTTTCAAGAGGGCAGCTAAATTTTAAAATGGCAGCCATTTTTCGTAAAAAAACGTTATCTTTTATTAACTCAAATACCATTGAATGGATTTGGTTTAAATTTTAGATGCTGATGCCTAGGGACATAGGAGCTCTGCTCGAGAAAGGATTTTCAAGATGGCAGCTAAATTTCAAAATGGCGGCCATTTTTCGTAAAAAAACATTATCTTTGATAACTCAATTACCATTGAATGGATTTGGTTCAAATTTTACATGATGATGCCTAGGGACACAGGAGCTCTGCTCGATAAGGGATTTTCAAGGTGGTAGCTAATTTTCAAAATGGCCGCCATTTTTCATAAAAGAACGTAACCTTTGATAACTCTAATACCAAATGACGGATTTGGTTCAAATTCTATATGCTGATGCCTAGAGACAAACAAGATGGCCACTGAATTTAAAATGGCCACCATTTTTCGTAAAAAACGTAATTAACGATAACTCAAATACCAGTGGATGGATTTGGTTCCAATTTTATTTGCTGATGTTTAGGGGAAAAGGAGATCTGCTTCAGAAGAAATTTCAAAGGCGTTAGCTGAATTTCAAAATGGCTGCCATTTTTCATTAAAAAAGTAATCTTTGATAACCCAAATACTATTGGATGGACATTCTCTGCTAAAGAAGAAATCTAAAGATGACAGCTGAATTTCAAAATGGCAACCATGTTTTATAAAAACATAATCTTTGATAATTCAAATACCAATGGATGAATTTGGCTCAAATTTTTTATCAAAACATGTTTTGTTCGGTGGGATTTGCTACTCCGTGGAGTTGCTGTTTTTCTAGTTCTGAATTTTAACAGGCATGATTTTAGTCTAATTATATGTTTCGATCCGAAGGGAACCAGTTATTGCATAGTAGTTTTGATTTTTACACCATGTGTAGTTGGAGGATCTCTCTATCCTTATCATTGTAGTAGCTTCAAATAATTAATGAACATCAATACACCACAGTACTTTAATACAATTTGTGAGACATTGTTCATTTTTTTTATTAACTTATCAGAGCCCTTCTCACAGAAATTGTTGAAACTAAAGTACACTTCAAACAATATTTCAAATACATCTACCAAGTTTTACAATCTATAACATTAGTAAAGAAATGAGTCTTAAAATATACTTCAGGGACACCCCATTAGTATCGATCATGAATTGAACCCCATAGCACTCCGTTGTAACTGAATAACACTGTGAACAAATTGAACGGACATTTTGTACAACCAGCTGGAGTATTACCATAATGATATTACCTATCAACAATCATTAATGAAGGATATTAACCATATCGTTTCTAAAAAAATGCGTTTGCTTTTGCTTGTATTTAGAGCTTTTAATATGTAAGTTGAACATAACGAGATAAGAAATATCTAGATACTGTCAGACTGCACTGTGTACTATGGTAGATAAGTAAAGCTTACTTTCTAGACGGACATACAAACAACTAAGCAGTTACACAGGTTTGGCGATAGCCTAGCATACGGCGGTC